AATATTAAACAGAGGGCAAGACCCCAGGCAGACATTTCTCTTATCAAGTGCTCACTGCTCCTCTATTTTAAGCCATGGTCCAGAAATCCAAATATTGTTCTAAGACATTTTCTTGATCAAATGTTCCTAAATCTGTCTCTCTTAGTTGCAATGATGAAAATATCAACGCTAAGTCCTCAGACGTTATAATCCCTACTAATTACTAGGTGTCTGAGGCAGTACCATTTTCCCTCACATAAAGTACCCAAAGTAGTCATTTCTTTAGATTTGGGGTTCTTAGTCTCTTTTTTTTCTGTCATGGACCTCTTTGGCATTCTGGTTTAGCTTATGGACCCTTTCACAGAATAATATTACTTGTTTTAAATTCGTAATTGAAGGAAATCCTAAATTATAGTTAGGGGTTAACAGAACAAAAGATGTAACTTTTTCCCACCTAAGTTCACTTACCCCTTGAAATCTATCCATGGACCCTTTTGGGAGGGGGAGGGTCTGTGGACCCTGGATTAAGAATTCCTCCTCTAGAACTTTCATCTTCCTCTCTGCCTAAAAAGGCAAGAGTAAACTATACTTTTGTGAATTTGTAGCAGTTATTTGGCAGCTAGATTGTGCAGTGGATAGGGAACCAGACCTACAGTCAAGAAGACCCGAGTTCAATTTGACCTCAGGCACTAGCTGTGTAACCCTGGTTAAGTCACTTAACCCTCTTTGACTCAGTTTCCTTATCTGAAAAATGAGCTGGAGAAGGAAATGGCAAACCCCTGTAGTATCTTTGCCAAGAAAACCCAAATAGGGTTTGAATAGAGTCTGAAATGACTGAACAACAACAAGCACTTATTTGCCCATGGTTGAAACGTTTTGTTTCTATGCAGAATCTACCTTGCCCTCTGCTAGATGAACCTGGGATACTCAGTCCTTCTGTTATCCCTGTTGGTAGTTCTTGTGACAGCTTGCTGTGACAACCTACTGAGGCCAAGTTCTTTGTTGCCCTGCTTGCTTACCTAGCTGAGAGTCTTAGTTTCTGAGAATGTTGTAGTTTTCTTAGGGAGAGCCTTAGCTTGTTCAGTTCCTTTTGATGGACAATTAGTGGGAAGCTTTCTGAGGCCCAGTACCAATAGAAGCTGACCACAGCTAAGGTGGAGGGGAGGGGGTTTCTAGCTGAATCCAATTACCATCCACTTCATACACCTTTCTGCTTTTTCTAATGATTAGATTTTAAGGGGTTTTTCCTGTCTTCCGACTTCTCTGGTGGTCTTTGTCTGAGTTTAATTATTTCAGATGCTCCCTGTGGAATCCAACAGTATGTGAGATACTCCTATGAACGTTATCATCAAACCTCATTCCTGCCTACTGCAAGAGAAGGTAGAGTCCTTCCTTAGCCCACTTTAGACCCATGCAAACTAGTGTGATTTTGAACTGAGGATTAAAAACATCATAGAATTCTGGGTCTGTTGTTTATTCAGATTGAATGGTATAAAATATCCCCATTACAAACCGAAGCTCAAAAGTCATACCATACAACAGGTGGCAGGAAAAGTAAAATGATTTGCCACACAGACAGGCAAATTTCTTTTCTTTTCTTTTCTTTTTTTTTTTTTTAGTGAGGCAATTGGGGTTAAGTGACTTGCCCAGGGTCACATAGCTAGTAGGTGTCAACTGTTTGGTCTGAGACTGGATTTGAACTGAGGTCCTCCTGATTTCAGGGCCGGTGCTCTATCCACTATACCACCTAGCTGCCCCTAGGCAAATTTATTTTCAAATTATTATCCCAAAATCATATTTGCTTAATGAAGGTTAAAATATGATATTATATTTAGCATAAAGGTAAATCATGCCACAAATACTTTAGAGGCCAAAGGTTATTATATATTTCACACCAATGTGATGATTACTTTCTGCTTAATTTTATGTTATAAAGGTATAGAGTTCAGTATTAGCTTTTTGCATGCAAGAAGTTCATATGCATAGCAACTTCCATTTTGAAGAGCAATGATTTCATTTAATAACCAAATGGGTTCACTGAATTTAAGAGCCAATCTTGTATAAAACTACTGATGCAGACTTAATTCAATTGGGTATTACAAATTTGCAAAGCATTAGTTAAGCTTTGGGATATGCAGTCTCTAGTGATAATTCTGAAATAACCATTCTAACTAAAATGTCAGAAATGTCCGTTCTCCTATCCTGGATGCTGGCTTAGCATCTGAATCTAAAGCTTGATTTTTGATGATAAGATCAAAAACTTTTTCAATTTTTGTTATACATGTCACAGTGTTCTAGGCTATTATTTTATTCTAAGACACAAAGATTATACTAAAATGAGTATCCTGCTGATTATTTTTACAGTATTGTTCTTTGTAGTTATATCGATGGACAGAATATAGGAAGTCTGTCAGTACATACATCTTGGAGAGATACTGAAAACAGATGAAAACAGAATTAAAAAGGAGGAAAAGAGTGAACTTATTTTAATTTGTGAAATTGTGCCAGGCTTTCAATGAGTCTATCCTCATCTTTGAAACGAAATCATGTATGGTTAATACCAGTGTTCTTCCAGTAAAGCTACATGCTATGAATCATGAAGGGCAGCTAGGTGAGACAGTGGATAGAGTACTGGTCCTGAAGTCAGGAAGACCTGAGTTCAAATGTGGCCCTTAGACACTTATTAGTTTTGTGATTTGGGGCAAGTCACTTAACTCTATTTGCCTCAGTTTCCTCATCTGCAAAATGAGCTGGAGAAGGAAATGGCAAACCCCTCCAGTATCTTTGCTAAGAACAAAACAAAACAAAACAAAAAACCAAATGGGGTCACAAAGAATCAGACAAGACTGAAAAATGACTAAGCAATGAATCATGAAATGCCATAGTGTTATTTAAGGTATTATTTTAGTGAACAAGCATTTATTTTCTCTCCCTCTTATCTCTCCCAATGGAAAGAAAAAAATCAAGCAAACCCTTGTTACAGATATGAATAATTAGGCAAAAAAAAATACCCTGTTTGGCCATGTACGAAAATGTATTTCTTATTCTGCATCTCGTATGTATCACCTCTCTGTCAAAATATAGGTAGTATAAATCACTGTCTGTCCTCTGTAAATATGGTAAGTCATCACATTGATCAGAGAATTTAAGTCTTTCAGTTGTTTATCTATACCATATTATTGATTTCATATAAATTGTTCTAATCCTTCTCACTTCACTTTGCATCAGTTTGTACAAGTCTTTCCAGGCTTTTCTGAACACACCCCTTTCATTCTTTCTTATAACAGAATAACATATGTTTGTATACCAAAATTTGGTTAGCCGTTCCACAGTTGATGTGGAGTGGCTTAGTTTCTAGTTCTTTGCTCTTACAAAAGAGCTGCTATAAACATTTTTATATGCATGATTTTTTCCTTAATCTTTGATCTTTCTTACTCTGAGGCCAGGGGGTATACACAGTTTAGTGATTTTGGGTATGGTTCTGAATTGTTTCCCAGAATGACTTTGCCACTTCACAGCTCCACCAGCATCTGCACATTAATCTGTGTGTTTTCCCACAGACTCACCCACATTTCTCATTTTCCTTTTTTGTCAACTTTGCCAATTTGATGGGTATGATGTGGAACCTCAGAGTTATTTTAATTTACATTTCCTAGTTATTTGGAACATTTTTTCCATATGGTTATCGATAACTTGGATTTCTTGCCTTTACAATTTAAAGGTGTTAGTGCTTAAAGCAAATTTATTGCAAGGAATATAAGGAATAAAAAAGAAAACTATTATAAATAAAGCTCAAGCTGAGCTTCCACATTCCTTTTCCTGCAGTTTGGGTCATAGCTTCTGCAAAAGAATCATATCACCAATCAACGAAGTCCTAATATCATGATTATAATATTGTTATGGATCATGGGGTGAGTTCAGTCATTGCTACTGATGTTATCACCCTAATCAATAGCTTCTGCTTTGTTTTAGGCACTCTTATTGCTGCTTTCTTTTCCAGAAATTTTCTGTAGCTCCTGACTTGCCTTAGGGCTCCTAGTAAGTAGCCTGGTAATCTCTGTCCCACTTCCACAGGCTAAATTTCCTCATTGCTACCATCTCCCAGAAATTTCTTTCATTTGTGATTCTTTCCTTCCTCACTGCCATCTACCCAAAAGTCCTCCCATATTCCCCACGGTTCTGTCTCACACCAGTCATTACTTGGTAATTTTTGGGCATATATCCTGAGTCCATAGCATTATGGGAAAGAGAGTTTTTGTTCTATGAGTGCTTCCTTACCCTTTTTCATCTGCTTATCTTTTCTGCTTTTTGCAAAAAGGAAGGGAAAAAGTTGAAAGACTACCACCCCCTCTGGCTTCCATATGCTCTCACAACTGCCTATTGCATAAATGAGAGATCTGGAAAAAAATGTTGATAGTATTTTGTAGAGAGAGAGAGAGCATCGTTGCTTACTCGTTTGTTTGTAGAGTATGGCTCATTCTTATTTGAGACTTTCAGCCTGAAGATACAAGTAATTATAGCTCAGGTTTATTTGTAGTTTAAGGTTTGCAAAACACCTTTCTTATAGCGATTCTATGAGACAGGTGAGAAGTACAGGTATTAGGATTCCTATTTTACAAGTGAAGAAACAGAGTCTCAGAGAGATCAAGTGACAACTAGGAAGTGTCAGAGGCAAAGGCTGAACCTAGTTCTCCTGACTCCTGTATTTTCTCTCCATTCTTTCTGCTATGTCATTTTGCTTTTCAGTAGAATGCCACCACTGAATTAATCAATGAATTTATTAATTGTAACTGGAGAAGGATGCATAGTATTAACCTTGGGGCTATTAAATATAAGCCAGGCACTATTAAAATACTTGTTCGATCAAAATTGTCTTCTTTAACATTTTATTTTATAGCAATTAAGGCTATAAAATTAATTACTAGAAGATACATTCCTTCTATGTGTGCATATGCATATTGTATATGTGTATATATATGTATTATATGTTTGAGCTAATGGTCTTTAAAATTATTTTATAGATATAATGGAGGACTACTGGAATTTCAAAAAAGCAAGCAAGAAATAAAAGATAATAATGAAAATTGGTATGGTATAGACCATATAAAAGATGAAGATTTACCTGAAACGTTTCAAGTAAGAAAACATTTAAGTCTAAGAGATCTACAGTGCCATAATGCTTAGAGTAATCTGCCAAAAATGAAGTTGGGGCACACAAACTTTGTGCTGAATTCTGTTACAAAGAATTATCTCTGTAAGATGTGGGCTATTTAAATAGACAGACATCTGAAATTCAAATAAAGTTCTGAACCTCCACCTAGTAACACAAGGAAGTCTATTAATGTGTCATAGGAAGTAGGAGGGGAGTATATGTACTAATATTTCTAAGTTACAAGTCACTAGAGTAGGTAACAGTTCAAAGTCAGTTCCATTGGTTTTCTTTAGAGATAGATGTTGATAACACTAGGTAACATTAGGTTGTTTTTTTGATTTTGGTAATTTTTACTCATCTTGCTATGATAAAAGTTACTCCTAAAGCTTTGTTCTCACTATGAATCTTTTAACAAATACAGACCTTTTGAAGTAGAGCCCAATACCAGTCAATTAACTCAACAGAAAGTGAGTGCTGAGGTATATAAAGATAAAATAATTTGTTTTCTGCTCAGAAGAAAACTCAGTAATAGGAAGGAAGAAGTAAAACATTTTCCAAGTGAAAAGAGCCGATGAAAGGGAACTTAACTACGGATTAGGAGCAGGATAAAAAAAAAAAAAAACAAACTTCAGCACAGTTCAGCTATTTATAAAAGAGACAGGAAGGAGAGACCCAAAGACACTAGTTTAGTAAGCATAAATCGCTGAGATCCTTTCTAACTCTGAGATTTTGTGAGTCAGTGAAATCTAAGACTAGGCAACATTTTCTGGCCTCTACCTCCTACTTCCCCTCCCTCCCTTCTTTATCTTCTCTTTATCTTCCAGCCCTCTCACTTCTTTTCCCTTATGCCTTCTCTTCTTCCCCTTACTCTTCTTTTTACTTCTCTTTACCTCTTTCCCTCTTTTCAATCTCTTCTCTTTTTTATCATTGTCAATGCATGAATTTTTCTTGTTTTTTCACAGGATCTTCTTGATGACTATATTAAAAAATATGAAAATCTTATAGAAAAGGGGACTATTTGCAGTTCCCGAGATTGTGAGCGGTCTTGTGAGACAGATATTTTAAAGAAATCTAAATATAAGGTATTGTCATTTTCATAAAACTGAGGAAACTTGGAGTTTATTGAATTTTGAAATTAAGTATAGCAGGTTAAAAAAAAGTATCCAAATGTTGCTTAAACTATTACTTTAAAAAACCCTTCATTTCATCATAATTAAAATTTATTATCTGTTACTCTTAAACAATGAATTATAGTATATTTGATTGTCTTTATCAGTGAGAAAGCATATATGTTATCAAAAGAAACTTGGATAATTCCCCCCAAATAGAACAAGAAAGCTTTGAGGAACTTGTAATTCAAGGCCAAACAATATTCACTGATTTGTAGACGTGGGGAAAAAAAAACCCTTGTAAGAAATTTGAATATTTAGGGCCTAAGAAAAGTGCAAATTAGGGTTATGTATTTTTTTTTCTCGTGGCCTGTATGTTTATATTGCTTATATATCTCAGGTGGTCCAACCTAGCTAAATTTGAAGAGGCTAAACCACAAAGTTTAGAGGTCAGTCACTAACTGGTAAAAATGTTTTTGGTCATGGCAAACATAAAGACTCATTACAGAGGCATGAAGGACTTGTTATCTGTGTTGGTAAAACTCAGGTGAAATCCAGATATTAATATATTGAATCTTTTTTTCAAACTCCAAATGAGGCTTAGGAATCATTGTAGCCTATTAACAGCAAAGTATGGAGGAAAGTCTAGTTTTAGTCTATTAGTGTTGGGTTTTACTATTTTATTGTCCTGCCAGATTGAAGCTTGAGTCTGTGTTGCTGTGGTGCTCAAGGTATGGCCTGCTAGAGTTTCTGCATTTTCAACTGCAGAATGCCAAGGAAGCAATAGGAAATGTGGCAATATGGCTGGAGGGCTGGCCTCAGGGTCAAGAAGACATTGGGTTCAAGTCTTGGCTCAGACTTATGTTTGACTCTGGGGAAGTCACTTAAGCTTTTAGTCCCTCAGGAAGTTCTCTAATACTATAAGTTAGGGATGAATTGCTGATCTGCATTGCTAGAGGGAGTTTCCTTGCCAGAAGTTCCATTCACTGATGAAAGCATATTTCCTGATCAAAATCCAGTAAAAGTGTGAAATCCGTGAAAACATAAGAATAACTTATGAAATTATACATAGGTAAGCATCCTATATATGTTATGTGTATATATTTATATCTTATACACACACACACACACATATGTAGTTATAGAACTATATCACATTGCCAGGCTGTTATCTGAAAGCATATTGTCAAATAGGTGCACATTCTCACTTCCTCAGTCCATGAAAAAAAGATCTTTGAGTAGACTCAATAATTTTTAAAAACCTAAGTTAAACCTTAAAAGTATTTATTAAGTGCCTAATGTTTCTCTGATTCTTGGCACAGACTAATTTTTATGCCTGGATTATATCCAATTTTAGAATGATTTATTCATTTTATTATTTTGTATGTATTATTAAATATAAGAGAAAGACTAAATAATAATTATTATCTGCAAAAAGATCTTAGAATAAAGAACTAGAGTGAAAGCCTTCAAAAGCTCCTTTAATCTTCTTGCATTATGACATTAGTATAATGAGTTTATCAGATTAGATAACTATCATCCAGGCAGTCAGAGTGAGTCAGATACTGTGAGAGATAAAGAACAGGAGAGAGAAAAGGAAAGACAGACATTCAGCAGCAGCAAGCCTAGGGATGAGGAACTAGTTGTTAAGTGAGTTCAATGACTTAAGAGAAGGAGATCTAAGTGCAGTAACCTGTAGGAGCAGGAGTTACAGAATGTGAGATTCTAAAACTGAGCTCTATTTCTTTTGAAGACTGGCAATATAAGGAATTTTCTAGCTAATTAGGTGAATCAGTAACCTATAGACTCAATTTATGTTGGCTAAAAGAGATGGAGATAGATACTTAAAATACTTTACGTGTCTATTGACATATTGACTTGCTTAGGGGTAGTTTCACATCAGGATATTCAAGAAAAGGTGCAACAGCTATCCTTTAGCATCTTTGTATACTGATTATTTGTTTTCAAGTGTTAGGAGACACCTCTAGAGATGCTTAAAAAGACCCGATTGCGTGGTTTCTCTGGATAAGTTAAATAACAGTTTCCTATACAGCAGAGGTTCTTAACCTGGGGTCTTTGAGCCCGTTTTTTTTTTAATCATATTTTTATAACTATTTCAGTATACTTCTGCATATTTTATTTTATACATTTGAAAAATTATTCTGAGAATAGGTCTCAAGCTTCACTAGACTGCCGTAGGAGTCTATGAAACAAAAAGTTTAAAGACTCCTGATACAGAGAAAGTTTGCTGTTTCTGAGGAATATGCTGGTAGATACTCTTAGAGCAGGTTTGTGACTATTGAACTTAGTTCAGATTGGTGTAGTATCAGGCTAATAAAATCAAGGTCATGGCTTTCCAGATAAGCCTGTTAACTCTTAGTCTATATTCTCAAACCCTGAGGAAAGAGGGGGTGGGAGAGAGAAGGAGAGAGGAAAAAGAAAGTTGGGAGGCGAGACATAGAAAGATAGAGACAGAGAGACAGAGTCAGAGAGACAGAGAGAGAGAGAGGGAGAAGGAGAGAAAGAGAAGGAGGGAGAGAGAGAGAGAGAGAAGAAAAAGCAGAGAGGAAAAGAGAAGGAAAGAGAAAACCAGTAAACCACTGCTGAAATAAAATGAACAAACCCTCAAAGTATATTCCTTATGGCAAATTATTGTTATAATCTTCTTGTACTAAGTTCAACATTTCAGTATTTTTTTGCTTTCTTATAGATAAGCTACTACTGCATATCGACTCATTTAGAGAGTTATTGATAAATGACTACCTTTCTTTTGTTTGTACTAATTTGTAGAACATTTTATTCAAATGTAGCTATTCATACTCAACTATGACTTCTAAAATTTCCTTGGAGTGCTTTATTACCCTGTGTTTAGCAATGCTTTAATGTTGGGTTTGGTACAGAAGTAACCTAGATTTGTCACCAATGGAGGCATCTTCTTCATAGTTTAAAACTTTCATATTGACATATTTTTATTCTTTTTACATATCTTATTCTTTCTAGGGTTTTGTTCATCTCATTTGTAGTGAAAACTGCAGTATCTACTTCCATAAAATTTGTTGGGAAAAGTTCAAGAATATAAAGCATTCTGGGAAAAGTGATGAGGTATTGCATTTGGGTGTTATTGTTAAAACTTGAATGAAATTTACTTCTATTTACTTCTCTTCATTCTGTACATCCTTGTGTGAGCTGCTTTGCTGTTGTTCTGCAGAGTGATTCAGTGGCTCTATCCTGGCTTGCAGGAACTTACAGTTTGAGAGAGACATTCTGGCTTCTTTGCTAAATACATCAAGGGCACACCAACAACAGAGGCATTTGTCTCTGGATAAATACATAGACAATAAAACTGTATTAACATTTCCTATGGGTGGAGCACAGTGATAAATTCTGATTTAACATATTCTTCAAAAGTAAATCCATAATCACATATTGAAAATCATGCAACCCTGAAATTAGTTCTCTACCACTGGAGTTAATTTAGAAGTCTAAAACCAAAGCCCATAGCAGTTATCCTCTTCAGTGAGCTAATTACAATAATTTGGAACCTGTAGTATTTGTTGTTCAAGAAGAAGAAGAAAAATACATTCTAAACCCTGGAGAGTTTCAATAAAGTGCTTTGGATTTATGGAACTTTTTTCTTTAAAGGAGTTCAAAGTGCTTAGCATATCTCAGGGATAGAAGGGGTGGATATTTTCCCATTGGAGAAAGGGAAATCAAGAAAGAGAAAACAGCTTTACTCAGGAAGGTTGGGTCAGAAACAAGTTTAGGGCACAGAATTCTCTTCCTCTTATCTTTTCCTCTTTACAGGAAGTTATGCTGATTTCTGAAATGCAAATTATGTAACAGTCATTGAGGTTATATCAGTTAATCTACAAGTGTTTATTAAGTCCCTACTTAAGTCTCTAGACAACTATGCTAGGTTTTGGGAATACTAACATAAAAGTGAGATGGTCCTTGGTCTCACAGAGCTTACGTTCTGGGGTGCTACACCATGTTCACAGATACAGAAATGCAGGATATATGCAAAGTAAATAAATACACAGTGATTTTGCAAGGGCACTAACAATGAGAGGAATAAGGAAAGGCCTCATGGAGGAGATGGTACCTGAGCTGAGCCTTGGTGGAGGAGGTGGTCAACTGTATAAAGAATTTCATAGAGATCAATAAGGATGAAACTGGAGAATCATCATATATAGCATATGTAGATATATACAAACATATGTATATATAGACATATATATACACACATGTATACATAGACATACACATTCATATGTAATTGTCACATATGTATCTTTATATACCTCTCTCTCTCTCTCTCTCTCTCTGTATTTCCAAAGTCTAAACAACTGACATACATATCTTTAGGACATAAGCTGAAACCTGCCTATACCTACTAGTCAACTGTCTGATAATTGCTGACATTCATTTATCATTCAACAAACATTTATTATGCATTTACTATGTACAAGATACTATGCTGAGTTGGTGGGGGTGGGCACAAAGATACATAAGGCATGCTTGCTCTCAAGGAATTTGTAGTCTAAATTTGCTTAGCCTTTGAAATGTAGAAGCATTCACTGATTGGTTGTCCTTTTGTTTTTAAAAAAATATATTTTTAGAGTTTTAGTGAAAAAACATGTTTGAAGAAAGGATGTATTGGTAACATTGTAAAGATGCAAAAATGTGAAGGACCTGGAGTCTTTAATATTCTGGTGAGTATACAGCATCCTGTGACATAGTATCTATTTAAGCCAAAGATTGTTTTTCTTTCAATCTTTGGCTTAAATAGATACTGTCAGTAAGGAAACCAGTATTTTAGCCACAGTTCTGTTGTTTGGTAATTAAATGGGAGATTTTAGAGGATCATAAAATTTAGAACTGGATAGAATATTAGAGATCATCTAGTATGCATTTTACAGATGTGGAAAATGGGGCTGAGAGAGGGAAATAATTTGTCTAAGCTCATAGAAAGTAGTTAAGTGGCACAGTAAGGATTATAACCAGATTTTTTAAAGCTAGCTCTGGAAGACAGGTAGTGAGAAATCATTGGCTCTTTTCACTATAACACAAGTGTTCCCATTTGCCTGTTCCCTGCCTCAGTTTGCCCCAAATAATGGCTCAGTTCTTTCATGAGACAAAGGTACTATGAAGAGCCACCATCTAATAATTCAGTTTGACCTGGAAGTTTGACATCTGTAAGACCTTGTTGCAACTCTGCAAAGACTTGCTATACTTTCTTGGTGTCTTTCAGAAGCATTTCATCATGTATGCTTTTCAGAAATATTTCCATCAGAAATATTTCCATCTGGGGCAGCTAGGTGGTGCAGTGGATAGAGCGCCAGCCCTTTAGTCAGGAAGACCTGAGTTCAAATCTGGCCTCAAACCAAACACTTGACACTTACTAGCTATATGACCCTGGGCAAGTCACTTAACCCCAATTGCCTAAAAAAAAATATATATATTTTTAATATATATTTTATTTATTTATATTTATTATATATAATATATAAATTATATATTTTATATATAACGTATATTATTATTTATTATATATAACATTTAATATAATAATTATATAATTATATATTATATTATTTGTATTATATATTTTTATATATAAAATATATATTATTGTATATATAATATATAAATTATATATTTCTGTCTACAAATTTGGTATTTTTCTCCTTCACATAGATTTTCTGAACAATAATTAATTGTAAAATAAAAATGAAAAGAGTATTCTCACTGCCATTGTCATCCTCAAAGGTGCCATACTGATGAGGATTTTTAGCCATAGTATATTATGACCTATAGAAAAGAAACTTGGCTTCTCTGAGCTTCACTTTTCTCATCTGTAAGACGGGGATAATATTTGTGCTATATACCTCACCAGGTTGTTGTGGAGGAAGCATTGTGTTGCCATTAGAGTGAGATATAAATGAGGTTTTATTTTGAATCATGCTTATTTCAAAACTTTAAGGATCTGTGATTGGTGAGAACATTCCCTCTACCAGTGCAAATGACAGTCCTTCTGTGCCTTAGTAGATGGCCTCAGAACTTGCTGTAGCCAGAACATTTTATCCTCTGGTGGCTAACCTGGTGACAGTTTCTAAGTTCTAATAAGACTTGTCCTCATATGAGAAAAACATGGCCTGTCACTGGACCTCAGGCCCTTTCTAACTTGAAAGAACATGCCGAAATTTATATTCCATGAATGTAATCTTTAAGAATTCAGGGCCATTTCCATGCCACAGTAAAATATCAGAAAAGGATTTTTGTGCTAGTATTTGGAATAATAATAGCAAGAGTAGTAGTAATCTTTCCTTTGGAAGCTAGTTTCATAGTACCTAGCCTGGTGCCTGTCACCTATCAGGCAGTAAATTAATACTTATTGGTTGATCGATAAGGACGATATAACCAAGCTCTAATTAGAACCTTTACAATTTTACCTTGAAATTGTAAAATTGTACTGTGGATTAAACTAATAGAATTATGGCATTATTTTTAATCTCTTTACATGTTTTTCAAGTATTTAGATACTGATGTGGAGGACAAGAAATTGGTATGGACTCGAGAAAGATAGCTAGTTTGCTACTGATCTCTTATTATATCTCTGTTGGATTTCACAGTGAAACAGGGTGATGATTATTTTAGAATTGGAAGTCACTTTAGCTTCCTTCATTTTACAAATGACAAAACAAAGGACCAAAGAGGTTAAATGACTAGCCCAAGGTGACAAAGGTAGTAAGTAGCAGCAGCAGAATAAAAACCCATGCCTCAGACTCCAAATCTAGTTGTTTCCTCCTATACCATTTTACTTTTTGTCCTATCTAAAACTTCAATGTACAAAGTAGAGTTACTTTTTTTTTTTTTAGAAAAACTGGTTTGTCTTTAATTTTTTTGAAAAATCAGTAAGTGTTCAGCCAATTGATCTATTCATTTGACAAGCATTTATTAAACACTACTATGTGGCAGCATTGTCCTAAGCTGACGAGATACAAAATCCTTGCCCTGCCCTTATGTTTACCTGTAAATGACTATTGAATATGAGGAGAGAGAAAGGAGAGTTTGTCAGGACATCTTTGATCATTTGATTTTCTGGGCCTGTGCAGCTGATCATAGAAAGATCATAGAAAGAGCAGGTAACAGGGACAACAAAGATATGTCTATACTCTCTTACCCCTTTACAAATTAATGGAATTATTGAGTTGGCCTGTTTCTGGTGGCTTTTAAAAAACAAGCTTGCCAGTTCTAAAAATGAGTTGAGGCAGGAGAGCTCTGAGGAGAAGTGACCTCTGGCAGTCTAGAGGGGTTTATCCATGTAGGAAGAACCTAGATTTTAAAGGGGATCCCTATTTGTCTTTCCCCTTTTGTCTTTATGAGGGGATGGAGGGGGGGAGTTTCTTGTTCCTCTGCTCCATTCCAGTGCAGTTATTCACCTAGTAGGAGACACCATACTTTGCAGAGAACAGGCACAGGGAGTCAAACAGTCATCTGGGCAGCTCTAAGGAATTACCCCTGGCATCAGAGAAGTGAGCCAGCTATGCAGTAAAAGAGAATTTGCTCTGGTGGTTGGGAGGTGAGCTGTGAGTGGAGCAGGCCCAAGGAACCCAAATGAGACAACTGCCCAGCAGATACAATGCATCCAGCAGGAGCAGTGTAAGTGCATGAAAAGAGAAGAAAGGACATCATGTCCTTGCAGTGTTGAAGGCATGACTTGCCTTTGTCCTATGTTCCCTATGTGTGTGCCTTACTGCTGTTGTACTGGTTCCGGTCAGTGTATGCCCACTGCTCTCATAAAAACTATTTGTATTTGTGAGAGTGTGTACCAGATTTCTGAGAAATGTTTTATAGTTACTATTCTTACTGTTAGATTTTAGTAAATGCCTTTGGTTTGAGCTAATTGTTTTTACTGTCTGATCATTAAAAGTAAGCACATTGGTAGAGGCTTGTGTGCTACAGCTTTAGTTTAGGAGTATGGACCCATAGAGAACCTTGTACTTGTGAGAGTGGTTGCTCCTCTAGGTTCACAACCTGCAACCTTTAAGTTCTGAGATAGGTAGTAGCCCTAGAGAAGTCACTACAAACCTATATTTATATGTATATCCAACACATATATGTATTGAATCTATATTTCTCTTTCGTCTTCTTTCCTTTCACTTCTCTCTTTCCTGTCTCTGTCTTTCTAGCTTTCCTTTTTCTTCTCTCTCCTGTCTCTCTATCTTTCCTTTTTGTTCTCTCTCTCTTCTTTCTCTTCTCTTCTCTTTTTTCTCTCTCTCCTCCCCTCCCTTTTCCTCCCCCCCTCCCCTGCTTCCCGTTTCCTCCCCCCACCTTTTCTCCTCTCCTACATAAGCACTTACTTGTGCATTGTGCTAAGCTCTAGGGATACAAATAAGAAAAAAACAGCTCCTGCCCTCTAAGAGCTTACAGTCTAATGGGGGAAGACAGTACACAAAAGGAAACTGAAAGGGGGAGGGATGACGGTGGACATTTGCAGTAGTTGAGGTGAAAGGTGATTAAAGGCTGAATTAGAGTAGTGGCCACTGAATTAATAGTGGCTGGGTGAGTAGTGAGGAGCTGGATGTAAGAAATGTTGTGAATCAGTAAGACTTAGTGATTGCATTGGCTCTAGGGAACGTTAAGGAGAGTGAAGATAATGCTGGTGATGTCTATCAGGAAAACTGGAAGGATGGTGATGCTGGAAACAAATAAGAAAGTTAGGAAGAAGACGGTCGGAGATACTTACATGGGTTGAGTTTAAATGCCTACAAGATATCTGGTGGGAAATATTCATTAGGTGATACGGGATTTTAACTCAGGAGAAAGACTAGGGCTGGATATATAGACTAGTTATTTATGGTTTTTTTCCTTTTCATATTTGATGATCTTTTCCACTTCTTTACTTTCTTAATGTACAAGGCCAGGAAACAAGAGCAGAAAGTTTTTTTTTTATTTGTTTGTTTAATGTGCACTAATTTTGATTTTACTTTTTTTTTTTTCCTCTCTTGGTAGTTTGACGTTTTGAAAAAGGATGAATGTATACAAAGGTAAGCACTCACAGTCCCCTGAATCTTTGTAGCTATTTGTAGTTTGAATTCATATCTTATTTACTTTTTTCCTTACTATGTCTTTTCCATAGTTAGAGCTCCAGAAAGCTTACCAGGGATTCTCTTTATGAGAGAATTAGAATTAAATTCCCTTTTATTTATGTAATATTCAAATACCTTAAGTGTGAAAATGACCCTTGTTAAGAGAAGGAGAGGAGAGCTTTCCCCAGAATTAGAACAGGTTTCTTTATTCAAGTTTATAGGGTGTGGGATTTAGAGTCAGAAGAGATCATCTAGTAATTATTCTAGTCTAACTCTTTCATTTTACGACAAAGAAGCCAAGAAATCAAGATAGGGAGTGATTTGTTAAATAATTGTTTAGAGAATAACTATCTGACCAGAATTCAAACCCAGGGCTTTTGATTCCAAGCCCAGGGCTAGCTTCCTGCTGTGCTTCATGCTTTAACCTAGATTAGAATGCTCTGATGTTAATGTTTCTTATGAGCTCTCAAAACCCACCCAAATACTGAGTATGAGTATAGTTATAGTCACAGTTCTCCGTGTCCTGAGAAGGAAAACTGATAGGAAAGAAGATTAGGTAAACAGTGAAGGAGGAGAAACAGACTGTGTCGATTAGGGAAGCAGGAACTTTGGCTATGAAATTATCTGCCATTCCACAAATAGCTTACATAGTAGTCAGCAAACATTTGTGAAATGCCTATTATGTGCTAGGTGCTAGGGATACAAATGCAAAAGTTATATAGTCCCTACTTCCAAGAAGCTTGTTATATTCTGAACAAATATTTATGCAGAAAAATAAACGTATGATATATTATAAAGTAGGTTGCACCTAATTTCTGGAGACTAGTAATTTTTGGCACTAGTAATGGCAGTGATAAGGATAGACCTCCTGTAGGGGGTGGCACGTGAGCTGAGGGTACATTCACTTAGAGGATTTCAATTATACAGAAGTATATAGCAGCTAGGTGGTACAGTGGATAGAACTCGAGACTTTGAGTCAGGAAGATTTGAGTTCAAATCCCACCTCAGATACTTACTAGCTGTCCTCTTCAAGAATGAAGGATGAACAACCACAACAACTTCTGTATGATCCTGGGCAAGTTACTTAACAGTCATCTGCCTCAATTTCCTTATCTGCAAAGTGGGATAATAATAGCACCTGGTCGGTATGAGGATAAAATGAGCTAATATATGCAAAGTGCTTTGCAAACCTTATATGGTAGTTGAGCGGAAAAAATATGTGTTGGAGAAAATTGCATCATCATTATCATGATTAGTATTTATATAGTACTTTAAAATTTGGAAAGCATTTTACATGCAAATAAAGTGACATAAAGCCCATCACTGATTATTCCCATTGATACATAAAAATAAATTAAAAGAGACAGTGTATAGATAGAGGAGAGAGTACTTTATTGGAAGCTGGGCAGGGTGATTTAAGGGCTTGACCCAAGGGTTCCTTTATTTTAGAGATGTACACGTAGTACCCATAGTGGAACCTGTATTTTACCTACCAATATCCCAGGACACGTTTTCCTTACTTGCTTCCCTTCCCTACTATTGCATTTGCCCTGATGCCAGAATTCTCAGTTGTTGTAGCGTCTAAGCTTCAGACTTGGCTTTGTGATGCTAGGCAAATCAATGAATGAGACTCATTTTCATCACCTTTGTGGTTGTTGTGGGTGTGGTTTGTCCTTCATTCTCAAAGAGGATCATGACATCAGGGAGGTGATGACATGGCTTGCATTGAATTGGATTTCAATGAAGGAGGGCTGTACAAAGTCACCAGCCTCACTTTTTCCTCCAGAGCCATCTGGGTCCAGGGGCCAAGTATAGATGAGGACGACTGGAGATGGCCCCGTTCATCTCCTGTAAATTGAAGGGGATGGAAGAGATTTCTAAAGTCTCTTCCTTCTCTGAGGTTCTGTAATTCTCTAGTGTTGATTGTTGGATATATATAAAATGGGAATGGGGGTGGGCCTGTGATCGCATTGGTAAAGAGAACTACAAAATGAGGACACTCCCTCTACTAAGGCAAGTTGGCCCCTTCTTTGTAACTTATAGACTGATAAGGGTTGTCTAGGGCATTGAAAAGTTAAATTACTTGCCGAGGGTCACATAACTAGTAACTGTCAAAGGAAGCACTTGAATCCTGATTTTCTGAATTTGAAGATAGCTCTCTATTGATTATATCACACTGCCTCAAATATCAAGAAATTTCTGCTTTTTGCAGTGATTTATCATGAGAATAGTATCTCAAAGAAATAGTTTTATAGCATTGTTTAATCATAGACATACGTGTATCCTAGCAAGAGATTTTTGTTTTCATTTACAGTACATTATAGGCCTTTAAGAAATCCCTTAGGTGGGCTGTAAGTATAGAAAAATACTTTAAAGTCTCTGGTATCACTGACTATAATAAACAATTGAAGTTTCCTCTTTGAGTAGAAAGTGAACAAGTAGTTTAATTTCTGACCCTGCTCTGGCCTTGGGGTAAAGAGTAAGAGACAAATTCTAGAATTTGATGATTCTTTAGCCTTGTCCATTACATTCTAGGGAGAAACTTTGGAATTCTTTTTGCCTACAGCAAATTAAATGTTTCTTTTCTACTTGCAGCTGTTTTAAAAAATTCAAGACTCTTCCGGTCACTGAAGCTACGAAAATGCAGAAGTTAAATTTAAAAGGTTTCATTTTATTTTTTAATCTTTTTTTTTTCTGGAAAGTTGTCCTATGTTTAGTAAATCTGTTGTAATATGTAATCCCAAAGAATGAAATAAATAAAACTCCATCTTATGATAGGGCACAGATTTTGAAATTTCACATACAACAAGTTCACAGACAAAATCCTTACTGATTTCCCATGCCACAGAAGTTAATATTATTTTCATTGTTCTCCTTTGGAAAAGCCACTAAAACAAAGTGTAGCAAAAGAGTTGTCTCCCTGGATTAATCTATCTCTAGCATCTCTAATAAAAAAAGCAAAATTTTCGATTTATTTACTATAGAGATGCAGATCTCTGCTATGATGATCTATCCATACAATATCACTTCATTTTACATTTCTAGGTCCAAGTAAACTATAACTCCTTGTAATCATCGCTGATTACTAATTTGGTAAAATTTCCAAATTTGCAAAGGACCCAGTACCTTATGTTTAATTTATGGAGTTCTTTAGTTCCCAGAGGTTACCACTCAATGGCACAAAACCCTGTGCAGTTGGCTGAAAGGTTTGTGTATTGTTGTGTATTCAAGGTGGTGCAATAAATAGAGTGCTGGACCTGGAGTCAAGAAAAGCTGAGTTCAAATCCAGCCTCTTCCACTTACTAGCTGTGTGTCCCTGAATACGTCACTAAAACTTTGTATGCCTCAGTTTCCTCATCTGTAAAATGGAGATAATAATAATATCTACCTCCCAGGGTTGTTGTGAGGATTGAATGAGTTAATATTTGTAAAGTGCTTAGCAAAATGCCTAGAACATTGTAAGCACGATATAAATGTTAGCTATTATTCTTATTGTTATTATTTTTATGTGATCACTGGCATTTCCTTTTCTGACTATACCTATCTTTTGTGTATTCAGGTGGTTGCTGGTAGCTTGCTGCAGCTTGCTTATGTGCAATATGTGACTCTTTATTGTTCTTTCTTTATATTGATTATAATTTTACACAGATGAGAAACCTGGAAATGGTAATGACCAATGTCTTCTTGGTCATTCTTTTTTTCCCCAGTAAAAATACTGTTCATGATCTTTTCCATTCTTTGGGAATTTTTTGTTCTTAGAGATATATTTTTAATTGTCCTCAAATTCTTTTTTTTTAATGTTATCTCCTGTGTGGATTTCTTCTATATGTATTTGGTCAGGCTTAACAGACTTTCCCCAACTCCATCTTTGCCAATGCTGTTTTCACTTCTTTACACCATACATTGGAGGTCAAAGGGATAGGGGCCAATGCACGGTTACACTATCATTACTTATGAAAATCACTGAAGCACAAATTTGCAAATACATTCCATTTTGAATAATCTGTTATAAGATCATAGATTTAGACCTGGAAAAGACCACTGAGTCCAACTTCTTCATTTTATGGATAAAGAAATTGAGGCCAAGAGAGGTGAAATGACTTGTAGGGGATCACAGCTAATAAATGTCTGTTGTAGGATTTGGACCCAGGTCTTCAAGTCTACTGCTCTATCCACAATCAATCATGAAGCATTTATTAAGTGCCTACCATGTGCTAGGTGTTAGGAGACACATCAAAAATGCAACAATCTTTATTCTCAGGGACCTTATATTCCAGTTTTATCCATAAATCTTCTTGGAATAATTTGGGCTAGCTGGATCTCATTCCAGGTTCTCATCCAACTTCTTTTCTTTTCAACCACCTTTCCCACCCACTGTTTTGCGAGAGGATTTTGCCCATAATCTTCTATCATCTTCTTTTCTAGTACTTTGAAAATGATAATTGGGTGTTTATAGTAAAAAGGCCGCAGGATTTGGAGTTAGGCTTAGGTTTAAGTCTTATCTTGCTGTGAATTTGTCATGTGACTTTGAGCAATTCACTTAATTTCTCTAGGCCTCCTTTTTCAAATCTGTGAAATGGAGGTGTCAAAACCGATGATATCTAAGGTCCCTTACAGTTCTAACCTCACCAATATCTATGGGTTCTCTTAGCCTCTTTGTTTTGGCAACTTTAAAAAAAATTTTTTCTTCAATTTATTTATGTTTTATTCTATAATATTAGAAGGACTAGTTCATTTCTCCCTTGCCCTATTCAACTTATACAACTTAAAACCTTTTTTTTTTGTTTTTTACAATGAACCAAATTTACCTTCTCCCTCCATTCCCTTCCTCCCTACCCCTATTGAAAAAGAAAGTAAAACAAAGGCCCTGTAACAAACACATATCGTCAAGCAAAACAAATTGCCACTTTCACCATATATAATGTACACATGGGGCATAGTAGATAGAGTGGCAAGCCTGGAGTCAGGAAGACTCATCTTCCTGAGTTCAAATTTGGCTACTTACTAGCTGTGTGACCCCGGGCAAGTCACTTAACCCTGTTTGCATCAGTTTCCTCATCTGTAAAATGAGCTGGAGAAGGAACTGGCAAACCACTTCAGTATCTTTGCCAAGGAAACCCTAAATCGGGTCAGACACGACTGAAACTACTGAACAACAAAACAGACACACGTAGACACATACGCACATATATACATATATGGATATGGTCAGAGTGTAAAGTTGTTTTTCTTGACTATACATGTTTGTTACATTTTTATGTATATTATATATCTTATGTATTATATATACACATATCTACATATATGTGTCATCTCATCTGCACTCTTGAGACCATCACTTCTCTGTCTAGAGGTGGGTAACATGTTTCATCATGAGTTTTTGACAACTTTTTGCAGTGGTTTAGCTTTTCTTAGAAATTCTATTTTCAGAACCAATATCTTCACTTTTATCCATTCTCCATGTTTCTGAATTGTCTGTTTATTAGAACAAGTCATGTGTGAACTGTTATAATTGCATGTAGTATCTTCTCATCTTTATTTGGTGTTTATTTTAAACTTTGCTTTGGTCAGCTTATGGGTGGTCTAATGACACACACTGATTCTGGAATGACTTATTTATCTGTAAGCATTCATTTGTTTTCTGCTAGGTTTTAGTAAATTTCATTTTAAAATGATCTTGTTTAATACTAACTATATCTAGTGCCTTCTGAGTCCTTCCTTGAGAAAAATATTCATGATATAGCATGTAAGTCTTCAGAATGACCTTAGACTTCTTTCATTCCCTGATACTAAACTGTGTGTTCCAGCATAGCTTTTGCTGTTTTTTCTTGTACCCACTTTTGAACTGAAGTTTTCAAACATCAAAATAATAGATTTATAATGTCTACAAATTCTTACTGAAACTTCTCTATGTCTTTATTCTCCACCACGGTGAAAGCTGTAATTGGCCTGTATTTCTTATGCTTTTGAGCACTGCAAAGTCAGGTAGCTAAATGCCCCCAAAATAATATATATTGCTATCATTGGGCATATGATGGAACCAATTCCCCAATTCTTTTCTTCTTATGAGATGGGCGTTTTCCATTTGGTCAAAGCATCTTTATGTCCCAGTAGTGAAAATGTCATAATGGATGTGGTTTAGTTCCTCCCCTAGGACATCAGTAAGCTGGATGTTGGATGTTGAACACTGAGAGTACCACTTAATATTGCTATTGCTCCTAAAACTAAGAGGCACAAAGTTTTAATACCACCTGTTAATATTTTAAGTCACCCCACCACCATCTTTTGTTGAAATGCAGGAGGGCCTATACAGGAATGAGGACCGTTATCTGTTTTTTAATCTGTTTCTTGAGTTGCCTTGACCAAAATTGGCGACTCTAAAGGGGAAACCACATGTATAAAATAGTATTAGTGGAGAATATCTTTCTGTTTTATTAGGTATAGATATACCTTCTCAAAATTTCTTTTTAATGAAATGCCAACCTCAAGAACTCATTAATTTTTTTTCCTCTTTGCTTCATATAGTTATTATAGCTGGTAATGATATTGTCAGGCAGACTACTTATCAGTCTGTGTTAACCTTTCTCCTTCTTGAAAAAAGTATGTAAATACTAAAATACTAAAATATAAAACATCGGAGTAATCTACAAATCTTTGATTTCTTCTTTTGTTTGAAACTGAGTCATATTTTCCAGTGTAACTTTTGCTCTTTCCCTCTGCCCACTTTTTTCTTTTTAAAATTCTTCTAAAATTTTGAATTTGAAATTTTCTCCCCTCTCTCTGATGCTCTCCTACCCCCACTGAGAAAGCAAGCAATATGATATCAATTATACATGTGAAATCCTACAAAACGTATTTCCATATTAGCCATGTGACAAAAAAAAAGAAATGAGAAAATTATATTTCAGTTTGTACCCAGACTTCATCAGTTCTGTCTCTGGACATGTATGGCATTTTTAATCAACAGCCCTTTGGAATTGTCTTGGATCATTGTATTGATCAGAGTAGCTAAGTCTTCACAGTTTGTCATCATTACAATATTGCTGTTACTGTGTACAATGATCTTCCAGTTCTTCTCACTTCACTTTGTATCAGATCTTGTCTTTGATCTTTGTATAGATCTTGTCGTGTTTTTCTTTCTTTCTTTCTTTTGGGGGGGGCTAGGCAGTGGGGTTAAGTGACTTCCCCAGGGTCACACAGCTATTAAGTGTTATGTGTCTGAGGTCATTGAATCCAGGGCCGGTGCTCTACCCACTGCGCCACCTAGCTGCCCCTTGTCATGTTCTTCTGAAACCATCCTCCTCATAATTTATAATAGTGCAATAGTATTCTCATTGCAGTCATATACTATATTTAGTCATTCCCTAATTGATGGGCACTCCCTCAATTTACAATTCTTTGCCACCACAAAAAGAGCCACTATAAATATTTTTGAACCTGTAGGTCCTTTATCTTTTTCTTTGATCTCTTTGGGATACAGACCTAGTAGTGCTGGATCAAGAGTATGGTCTAGCCCTTTGGGCATAGTTCCAAATTGTTCTCCAGAATGGGTGGACCAGTTCACAACTCCACAATAGTTCATTAGTGTACTTATTTTCTCACATCCCCTCTAGCATTTGTCATTTCTGGTATGTGTGAGGTGGTGAATCAGAGTTGTTTTAGTTTATATTTTTCTAATCAATAGTGATTTAGAGCATTTTTTCATCTAATTTCTTCTTCTGAAAGCTGCCTGTTCATATTCTTTGATCATTTATCAGTTGGGGAATTACTCTATTTTTATAAATTTGGCTCAGTTCCTTATGTATTTGAGAAATGAGGCTTTTATCAGATAAACCTGCTATAATTTTTTTTATATTATTTCATTGTCTACGATACCTTTTTACCAGAATGTAGTTTCCCTGATTATCCGTTAATGAGGCCTACTCTTGCTTTTGCTTTGCCTGAGATCATGATTGTTATCCCTGCCTTTTTAACTTCAGCTGAAGCATAATAAATTCTGTTCAGCTCATTATTTTAATTGTATGTGTGTGTGTGTGTGTCTTTTTGTTTCAGGTGTGTCTCTTGTAAACAATATATTGTTGGATTCTAGTTTCTCATCCATTCCGCTATCTGCATCCATTTTCTAGATGAGTTCATTCCGTTCACATTTCACAGATATGATCACTAACTGTGTATTTTCCTCCATCCTAATTTTTTTCTCTTCGTCCTTCTTCTCTTTTTATCCTGTCCATTCTCAAAAGTCTGTTTTGCTTTTGACCGCTGTCTCCCTTCATCCACCCTTACCTCTTGTCACTTCTCCCCCTTTTTCTTATTTTCTTCTTCTATGGCTTCCCTGTTGGTAAGTTCAATTTCTAAACAAACCGAGTGTACATGTGTTCTTTGCTGTTTAAACTCATTCAGATGAGAGCGAGGTTCAAGCATTGCCCACACACCCCCATTTTCCCCTCCACTGTAAAGCTCTTTTTTGCGTGCCTCTTTTCTGTGAGATAACTTTCTCCATTCTTCTTCTCCCTTCCCCTTTCTCTCACCTCATCCCTTTTTCTCACCCCTTCATTGTTTTTGGAGATCATCCCAACATAATCAACTCACATCCATGTTCTCCATCTGTGTAGACTCCTTTTAGTTTTCCTAATAATGATGAAGTTCTTAGGAGTACATGTATCATTTTCCCCATATAGGAATGTAAACAGTTTAACCTTATTGAGTATGTTATTATTTCTCTTTTATGTTTACCTTTTTATACTTCTTGAGTCTTGTGTTTGAATAGAAAATTTTCTATTCTGCTTCGGTCTTTTTATCAGGAGTGCTTGAAAGTCTTCTATTTCATTAAAATCTACTTTTTCCTCTGAAAGATTGAACTCGGTTTTGCTGGATACATGATTCTTGGTTGTAATTCTAGCTTTTTTGCTTTCTGGAATATAATATTCCATGCCCTCCACTCCTTTAACATGGAAGCCATAAAATCTCGTGTGATCTTGACTGTGGCTCCATGATATTTGAATCGTTTCATTGTTTCTTTCTGCCTGCTTGAAGTTATTTTCTTTTTGACCTGGGTGCTCTGGAATTTGGCTATAATATTCTGGGAGGGTGGGGGGGAGGAGGATGCTTTTTATTGCTGCCTTTTTTTCATCAAAGAGTTCCAGGGATCCTGGGCTCTTGTAAGTGAGCTTTTACCTTATTTTGCCTGGGAGCAGCCCTCCACATCACTTTCTGGCTTCTTGCAAAGCATGCAACATGTACTTTGGCTGTCTTCCCGATCTCCGTCTTGCAGCACTCTAGACTCTGTCCTGTGGACCCAGCTTTCATCTTATTCTGATCAGAACCAGGCCTCCCCCTCACTTTCTGACTGTTTCCAAAACATGCCAGTGACATGGACTGTCTTCTTTGTTTGAATTTTATCCCTAATGCTTAGCACATTGTGATTAATAATTGCATATTAATTCATCCATTACCTTACAGTCATTTTTGGAAATGCCCTTCCCTCATGTATCTTTTGATACCCTCTCTTGTATCAAAAAAAATCCAATCAAAACATTAAGAAGAAACATTCAATACAATGACTACATGTGGCAATGAATAAAGCATTCTGCCCTGGCAGTTCCCTTTCTCTCTGCTATGAAGAGGGAAGTATTATAGGGAGGGGTTTACTTGAACCAGCTCATATCACCTTTTGAGAGCTGATTGTTAAATTTTGAATGTGAGCATTTACCCCATGGAAATTGGCAAATGCTACACAGTGGGCTTGATTCATTGTTTTGTTGACTGTCTAGACTTAATAAAATATTAATAATGTAGATCAAACTTAAAAATATATCCTGCATACATTTTTTTTTAAACCAGTTGTTAAACATTTACTACCACACCCCTGCAGGGAAAGTGTCATTATTTGTCCTTTGGAGACTTTTTTTAGTTTTGTTATTACTTTGAATTTGGCTTCCTTTTAGTTGTATGGTTCTAAACCTTGGAGTCTGTGAACGTGTTTCAAATTTTTTTTAATTTTTTCTAGTATATTTGTATTTCATTAAATATTTCCCAATTCTATATGTAAAAAAATTTAATTCATTTAAAAAAAATTTTGAGTTCCAAATTCACTCCTTCCCACCCTTTGAGAAGGCTATCAGTTATACCATAGAGGCATGTAAAATGTATTTCCATATAAGCCATTTTGCCCCAAGCAAACTAAAAAAGCAAGAAAAATAAAGTGGAGAAAAGGCATGCTTCAGTCTCTGCACTCAGGTTCACCAACTCTTTCTGGAGGTGGATAGCATTTTTCATCAGTTAACTTTATTTTAATATAATGTTTCCTTTGTAATCTTGTGTATTTTATGCATTTAAAAGCATCATTTTGAGAAGGGGTCCATAGGTTTCCCCAGACTTCGCGGGGGGAGGGAGGAAAGGTAAGAACCCCATTTTGGTGGCATTTCCACATGCCTGGTTCCATTCCTTTTGTACGCTGTACCTTGGGCCCCAGTCAGAGGCACTGCGGCGGGTAAGCTCCTCCCTGGAAGGGGGCGGGCCTGTGGCTTTTTCAGCCAATGGCTGGGGAGCACTTCCCCTAGCAGGGCCCTTCTTTGCCAAAAGGTCCCAGGAGGCGGCCAGGTTGGATCACTGAGGCCCTTCTTGGAACTCCGCTCCCTTTTCGCCTCCTGAGTTATCTCCTCCGACTTAATTCTGAGACCCATTTTCCTTCTTAGTTCTTGACTTACCTCAGTGACTGTGGCAAGTATTCTCAGGGATCTTCTTCAAATGAAAAAAAAAGGGGGGGGTTGAGGGATGAGTGAATAGCCCCCCCCATCAGTACCCTCACCCCTATCGCGCTTCTTATGGTAGGAGCTGGGCTAGTGACCTTTACCTTTGACCCACCTCTCTCTAACCCTCCCCTCCCCCCAAATCACAGCCTGATCTTTCCATTATGGCCGAGTGACCTGAATTTGGCTATGAGGGTATACCCCCCCCAAAACCAAACAAAAACAAAAAACCAACCAACCCAACAAGAAATCAACCCCCAACAACTTGCTCCTTGTATCCCTGTGTCTTTAGGCTTTATGTCATATGGAGCAGTCAAAACTCTTGCTTGTCTTCTTTTCTAAATTTTTTTAAGGTTTTGATACTTAATTCTAATTTTTTTTGGGGGGGCTAGGCAGTGGGGTTAAGTGACTTGCCCAAGGTAACACAGCTAGTAAGTATTATGTGTCTGAGGCCGGATTTTAATTCAGGTCCTCCTGAATCCAGGGCCGGTGCTCTATCCTCTGTGCCACCTAGCTGTCCCTTGATACTTAATTCTAAAGAGAGCCCCTAGACAAAAGTGGGGTGAATGGAAAGAATCAAGGTGCCCGTTTCTGTAATCACTTTCAGAATGAAGCAGATGTGGAAATCTTTGGTGTTTTGTCTCAGTCCTGGTTTTATCACAGTAAGGTGTTTGTCGTGTATATACATCTGAACTTTTTTTTTTTATACTATAGAAGTGGCTGTGAAATCAGGACTGAATTCTCATAGTAAGTGTATCATTTATTCATTGGACAAATGTGTACTTAGGATCAGTTATTTGACGTGTATGTACTGTGATAGGTAATCGGGAAGAAATATAAATATGACACAATCCCTGCCTTAAAGGCCCTTACAGTAATATGGTGTGACTCATAATTAGAAACTTTTATTCTCATTGACAATTTGATTAACAAGAATTTGAATTCCTGTTATTATTTTTGTAGGCCAGCAGGGACTTGTCCAGGGTCACACAGCTGGTAAGTGTTTGAGGGCAGATTGAACTGAGGTCCTTCTAACTCCAGAGCTGGTGCTCTATCTACTGTGCCATCTAATTGCCCCAAATACCCCAAATCATTTTTAAATACCATCACCTCCTCCTCCTCCTTCTCATTGTTAATTCTAACTCCTTTACATTCATTCCTTTCTCACCACCCTAGTTCAGACCCTCATTGCCTCTCACCTGCTTTGTTCAGTTATTTTTCTTTTTTTTTTCTTTTTTTAGGCAATTGGAGTTAAGTGACTTGCCCAGGGTCACACAGTTAGTAAGTGTTAAGTGTTTGGTCTGAGGTCACATTTGATCTCAGGTCCTCCTGACTTCAGGGCCGATGCTCTATCCACTGCGCCACCTAGCTGCCTTTGTTCAGTTATTTTTCAGTCACATTCAACTCTTCATGACTTCATTTGGAGTTTTCTTGGCAGAGATACTGGTTTGCCATTTTCTTCTGCAGCTCATTTTACACATGAGGAAATTGAGGCAAACAGGGTTAAGTGACTTGCCCAAGGTCACATAGTAAGTGTTTGAGGCTGGATTTGAACTTAGGAAAATGAGTCTTCCTGATTTCAGGCCTGGCACTCTATTCACAGGGCCATCTACCTGCCCTTCCTCACCTATTTTTCTGTACTGATATCTGAATAGAACTGTTTTTTAAAGGCATACATCTAACCATGTCTGCCCTTCCAGCTCAAAAATCTTTCAGTGTCTCTCCATTACCTATAAAATGAGAACAAGCTCTGTAACCTGTTGTTTAAGACTAAACTATTTGGCCCTGCTGCCTCCCTTTCCAGCCTTGTTTCATGCCATTTCTCTTTATAGTTTTTTCCAAAACTAGTCTATTTTATTAATTGTTGCTCAAATTTAATATTCCATTTCCCAACTCTGTGAATTAGCTATCCTTGGTGCCTGGAATGGACTCTTTCCTTACTTCTACCTTGCAAATCCTTGTCTTCTTTCAAGATTCGGTTTAGGTGCTTCCTTCTCTATAAAGCTTTCTTCAGCCTCCTTTCCCTCTACTCCCCACCTATCTATACTTTCTCCTGTCTCAATTTATATACGTGTTATATATATATATATATATATATATATATATATGTGTATATATATATATATATGTCTCTCTCCCATTCCCTTAGTAGTAAGCTTCTTAAGGTCAGCGACTGTTTTGTGTCCTTGCATCCCCATTCCATACATAGTGCTTGCTCAGTATATATTTGTTTGTTGTTACTTAGTTCAATTCAGTGAATATTTATTAAGCACCTACTGTTTGCCAGACTCTGCTTTAGAGTTTACAAAGAACTTTTTTAATCTTCACAGTAACAATGTGAGGGAGGCGGAGTATATTTTATGATCTCTGTTTTAAAGAGGAGAGACCAAGGCTCAGCAAAGTTAAGTGACTTATCTAAGGTTTTTCATCTAATAAATGGTAAAGGTGATGTTAAAACCCATGTCTGTGGGTTTCCACTCTATCATAATAATGACAATTAGCATAAGTTATTTGTGGCTGGATTTTGAGTTCTTTGTCTCTAATATTTAGGTTGTAATCCAGAAGAGATCTTTAAGGATGAGATACTAGAACAGAATGCATCTCCAGTAGACTCTATTAAAGATATGAAATCAGACCCAGAAGAACTGCCAGCAGAAATTCCTAAAGATGAAAAATCAGCACTCAGTGAATCTTCGATAGAATCTTTTAAAGATGTCCATGAGGTATAAATTCTTCTTAATTATAGAAACATGGAATTAGACAAGACTTTGGTCATTTAACTTACCATTTTACCACCTCGTTTAACTGTACCCAAAACATTCCCGACAAATCCTGTTTTTGAAATCTTAAGGGAATCTCCCTTTGGCAGGTAGGGAAGCAAAGACAGTAGAAGGATTCCATTTCCAATGCCCCTGTCTAGTCTACTCTATGTCTGAAATCAACCCTAATTCCTCACCTACCCGTTAGAAAGGAGAGAGAGGGAAAGAGGCCAAGAGAGGAATAGGAGAAGAGAAATGGGCTAGAAGGGTTAGCTAAGAGGGATGCTTCTTCACAATTTGCACTAAGTCACTGGTGATAAAGGGCTGAATGAGTAATCAGAGGAATAACTTCAGTTTATTTTTTCCCCCCAAAGACTTGGTAATACCCTTTATGTTCAGCAAGTAGTGCCATAAGTTTTTAAATTTCCCTTGAAATTATTTGTTAAATCCAGGCATTGTTCTCAAAGGGCCTTTCTCATTTGTTGCACATTTAAGTGTTGATGTTTCAGGTGATGACTTAAAACATCTGGAGCTTAGTATGAATGTCTAGTAATGCTCTTTTGTTTTCTTCATTGTGTTCTCCAGAGCAGGTGAGATTGTGGGACTTCTACCATAAACGATAATAGCTCTTACCCAATCTAGAAAAGAATCATAGTCATAATAGAACATTAGAAAAGGAAAGGTTACAATTATTTGATTTCATGTGTAAAGCCTGGGATGTGGGATAGGAATGAAATTCTTCATACATAACAAAATATTCCTTGTGGTTTTATGTTTGTTGTAGTGAATTGTTTATAATGACATGTCCATTACAGAGTGCTCAAGTTAACAATAAATCAAAGAAGAAGAAAAAGAATAAGACTAAGAAGGTAAGAGCAATAGTAGCCATATTACAAATAGTGTCTGAGCGATGTTGTATACGGAGACTGTTAGCATGGATAATTCCTAACAAAGAAACGATTTATTGGGTATTTTATATATGTCAAGATCTCATGGTTCCTTCAAATGATAAGTTGATCTATAAAAAAAATTTTAAGCCCCTTGGCTTAATGATACATGGTTAAAATAAAATATTATTTACCAGGTCAGATTTGTCAAGTTAAAGGTACTCTGTCAAGATAACGATCAGTCATCAGAAAACCAATCCTTGACTGTCATTTTTAACAAGTGAGATTATAAAACCAAGAGAATTTGAAACAGCTAATTTATTTTTTTCTCCTGAACACTTGAATGTAATACATCTATTAACTCTTGGAGCTTAAAATCAATCCAGGTAGAGAGGTAGCTAAAACAGTTTAAGAGTTCTTATGTATATTTCTTGGCATTCTGTGACCTGAGTGGTTTAATCTGGATTTTTTGGTTATGTTCAACTTTACTTATATATTTTCATGTGTAAATCTTCATAATATCTAGATTAAAAGTCACTTGGAAAGTTTTATTCCTTTCTCTGTAGAGATAGTTAAAAATCCTAATTCCTTAGAAACGCACTTTAGGCCTCAGTATTGCAATAGCACCATCATTTATTTTCCCCTCAGGCATTTAGTCACCTTGCAGATCTTTAGGAAATCTTGATTTTCTTTTTCACATCTGAGGGGGTGTAAAGAATTCATTCTTATCTGTGTGAAAGGAAGAACAACCTTCCTTTATCCAACCTCCACAAGTGTGCCTGATTTCTGTAGTGCCTAATTTTTTTAGGGACCTGATTTGATATTGGAGACTGTAGTTAGACTTGGATTTCTCGTACGCTTAGGAAGCACATTGCCAACTGTGACTTATGGTCTCTGTGATGAAAAAATTGTTGTTTCCTGACTGGTTGTGTAAGAAGGAAACTGAGATCTTGTTAAAATTCACATATGTGTCAAAGTACATTGTGAATAAGGGTATCTGTCTAATTGCTCTCTGACTAGACTATTGTATAAAACAGAAATGGAATAGCCCCAAGCATTGATAGTAATTAAGATTAAGAAAAAGTGAAGCCAATTGAAAAATGAAACAGTTGCTTTTATTGAGTTAAACTGTAAATTGTAAACAAAATTGTTAATAGACCAGTTTGGCTAAGAAGTTTTTTTTTCTTTTGTAATTGCTGTTATATTTTCTGTATCATTATTTAGTATACTACAGCTTACTATTTGACTTAATAATTCTTTTAAAATTAATTGATTTTAAAGACTTGAATTAAGATTTTTCTTTTAGAAAGTTCTCTTCTGTTAAAGCAAATAGGTTAGCTAGATTACAGTTAAACTGATGGTCGTACTTGGATACATCCCACTTTTGCATGTATACTTGCCATTTTACCTTCAAAAAGCAGGCCTAAAATGCAGTGCTATTAGACAGTTTCCTATGGGTCACTGTTGTTTTCCTGTTCTGTCATCTGAAAAAATGCAAATTGTACCTAATTGTCAGTGGTCACACAGGCTCAGATATTCATACTGCCAGATTAAATGCAATACTAAAGGAGAAGAAATAAAATCATTTAAAAGTACAAATGCTATCAAAAAACAACTTTTTAAAAAAGTTTCAATTTGTTCAGAATTTTAAGGTTTTCCATTTTAAAGGGATGCTATCAAGATCAGTATTTTCAGAAACATGGTGACCTACCCTGTTAGAGGATCAGATTAGGAGTGGGATAGAGTTGATTCTAGTCTAAAAATCATCTAGTTCGTGACTGTACATATCTAAATGGAGGAAATGTATAATATAAAAATGCCTATAAATGTATACTCTGACTGCCTTAAGCAGACCCATTTCAACTATTTTTGTTCCTTGATTTCATTAGAAATCACTGTGATTCCTGAGACCAAAACCTTCTTCACCAGCTCCCACTCCTCTAGGTATTTTGTATCTGCCTAGGGCACATAACACACATAATGTTATACACACATGGCACATAGTGAGCATTTATTCTTTCATTCACACATTCACTTATTCATATTGCAGGTGTAGGCTAGTGTTACATACCCATTCTCTGGGGGCAGTAAAGGCAGTTTTGAAAAGGTAAATTTTAACACTTAGCCTACCGGTTATCAACAGAGAGCAAACAGGCTGTCCTTTGGAATTAATTCTCATGCCAAAGGTAAATAGCTTAAAAACACACTCCCCAAATCAATCTTCCAGGTTTTAAATGTAGAAAGACCATTACCCTATACAGGCATAGTTGAATCTTCTGCTAATTCTTTGTGCTCTTTTTCAGAATAAAGAGCTGAATAAAGAGCATAGGTAAGTGTCAGCTTCTTTATTGTTTTTAAATGCATGTGAAGAATGCCTAACCAATGTCCCACAGCCCTGGAGGGAGTATTTTCACTATCAGCAGGGGAAGACAGTGGCTCAGTCCTTGTAACTTTTTTTTTTCTGTTTTTATAACCTCTTTGTTAGGGCTAACGAGTATAGATGATGATTTGTTGTAGAAGAATGGAATTGCTAATCCCTTTTCTTTGTAGTCACTAAAGAGCAGTCTAATCCTAATTGCTTACATTCAGGTACTGACTTTGGTTCAGTTTGAATCCAGTTTAGAACAATTCAATTCGCTTCTACCCAGGCAGTATTTAGTGAGCAGCTGACTCTGGGGCTGCTGCTAGGGTAGATGTAGGGGACAGGAACAAGACATGGCCCTTGTTCTTAGAGAATCGACCCTAGTAATGAAATATAGCATGCCAGTTCTCATTACCAATCCCAAATGTTTTTCTCTTGCATATCTCTATTCCTGCCCTCTTTGCAATAGAGAGAACTTTATTCCCATGGTTGACAAAGAATTTTTACTTTGGCTGGAGAGGCAGTATGATTTTGAGAATAAAGCACTGAACTAGAAACCAGGAAACCTGGATTCTTGTCCTGGCTTCACTACTTGTTAGTTATGTAATCTTGAGCAAGTTGTGTAATAACTCTGAGCCTTGATTTTCCCATCAATAAAATAAATGCATTGTCTATAAGCTTCATAGGATAATTGGGAGAATTAAATGAAAAAATGTATGTGAAAGTGCAATCAAAATTGTAGAAATGTAAACTATCATTATTTGAATTTTGTTACTAATAATGTTAATTATTGAGGGATGATTTTTAATATAAAAACTCTAGTATACAATTTTGCATTTCATTTGGTGGAGCATCATTTGTAGAAGGAAGGAAATAATAACTTAATGAAGAAATGATGATAATGGTAATTATTACCATGTTAAAAATGATCCTTTCCCCATCTTCCCATTAGAATTATTACGCCTAGGTTTTAGAGACCTTAGAGTTCCTTGTAAAGACAAAATACATAGTTAACATTAATAGCAGTGATGTACTTTTGACTTCAGTGGAAATTTTGCAAACTGAAAATCTATGATTCTTGGGTAGTAGTATGCTCATCACTGATAGTGGACCTCAGCTACTTGGTGAATAGAAAGTATATGACTCATCTTCACAAGGGACGTTGATTCTTTTAGAAAAGAGGAAGGTACCAGCTTAGACATGGTGGCAATGTTTTATTTAGGCTTTGTCTATACAACAGCTGGACGAATGTTTGATAGATTTAAATGTGATCATTCACTTGGTTGTTTTGCCTTATATAACACCAAATAATGAGTTATACTGATTTTGTGGTTGAATTTTCTGAAATGACTACAGAATAGTTCTATTGTAGATAGCCTCAGAAATGTCAAATGAGACAGTCGGTAAACATGGTTAAAAATTATAAAATAAAAGTTAAATGGCATGATTATTTTAGGTCTCAGTTGCCTGAGTGACTGAAAGAGAAGACTTAGAGAGAAAATGATTACTGTCCTCAGGTATTTGAAGCTTTATCTAGTTCTGGGGAAGGGGAATCAGACTTACTCTGCTTGTTCTTGGAAGCACAAATACTTGTGTGGGGAACCTGTGGAGACCAAGCTTAGGCAGGACAGTCAGGTACATAATGGCAAGCCAAGTCTGTGATGCAGCACATCATCACTCAGCTCTCTCTGGAGATATGATTTCTTATTAGATCATACCAATTCTCCAGATTAGCGCTGCCAGAGGTTTGACAGTAGGCCAGCCACAAATTCAAAGACAGGCAAAAATACCATGAGCCTCAGATCATCATGACTATGTTACTGCATCACTCACAAATTTCATCAGATTCCTGATCTTGTAGCTTTTCCAAATAGAGCATATAGCAAGTAAAAAACTTGTATCTGAATATGCCTTCTGACATGACACACTTGGGTCCACTTTGGGAACCCTTCACTTCTTTTAGCTCATTGTTCCCACCTTGGTGGAATCTGATGTCTGGCCCCCTCCCAAGGATTACCACCAGTTTCTGTTATAAGTGCATAGGATCACAAGGCATAGATCACTTTTATTTACATAGTAAAAGCTATGGTAGGATTCTGAAACCATAAATAATCAGTTTGCAAAGTGGTGAGCTACTTTCTCCCTACCCCACCCCAGGGATATGTAGTATCCTGAGGAGAACCCAGGTAGGTGGAGATTGATGCTTCCTCTTCCATGTCAGCATAATATGTTGTTGTTATTTTCTAGTACCTCTTTTCTTTCTTTGTTCCATTACTCTACTGCTACTCTCCTCCCTTCCTGAAAGGAGTTGTGGGTTCTTCTTGCCTCTGTGGTTCTTCTCATTTCTGCTCCTGTGCTCCCTGTTCCTCGTATTGAAGATGCAGATATTTCTCACCCTCTAGAATCAAATACCTCTGGCTTAAACCTTTTGTTGTTTTATATACGTTCTAGTCCTTCAGCTCCTGAACGCTGTGCCTCTTAACTACATCAACCCCTTCCATTAAACCTTTGGAGCTTGGCTAAGGGACTCCCAGTATCTTTTTATTTATATGTTTTTCTCCTGCCTTTCTTCAGTTAGGCTAGGTCACACAGATTATCTAAGACTGCTTCTTTGAGTATCTTCAAAAAAGAAGGGTGGAGCTGGCGGCTTTCAGAGCCTGCACCCAGTGTATGCCCAGTGACTCAGAGGGTGAGTTGTTATGCTAGAAACTACAAGTAAACCAGTAGCAATACTTTCTCTAGCTCTGCTTCAGCTAATTAGTCTCTCTGTCAAAGAGACAGGGATACCTGGGGTCATGTCTCATGACCTTGTATCCCATTTTTCTGTGTTCACCTAGAAAGGCAGATTTTGGTTTAGTATAAGGGGATTCTGCCTAGTAATTAAAACTGTCCAAAACAGAATAGCTCTCTAATGAAGGATTGAGTTCTTTGCATTTGGAGATCTAGGTAAAGGCTGAAGGAGTACTTATCAAGATTGTGGGTTTTTTAAAAAATAGTATTTAAGACAATTTTGAGACAAAATAAGACAATTTTTAACACTCACTTTTTAAAACAAAATTTTGGATTCCAAATTTTCTCCTTCCTTCCTTCCCTCCCTAAAACAGTAAGCAATTTGATATGGGTTATATAAGTGTAATATAAAACATAACAAGATTGTTATAGAGGATTCTCTAATAAATGTATCAGGTGTGGATTGGACTTTTATCATATCTGCTCTTGAGATTATGTGAGTTTTTGCATGTTCCTTTCTCTCAGAGGTAACATTTCTTTCTGCTCATTAGCAGGATCAGGTCGGTCAATAGCAGGGGAACATCTGTAATCCCATATTGTAGATAAAAAAAAACCCCAAACCAAAACTACTGAATCTTGTAGAGGAAGAAGAGAACTGATGTCTCTGAAGGACTTAGACCGAAGGAAAAGTAATAAAGCATTTAAGCTTGAAATATTAGGTTTGTAGGTTTTTTCATTAATGTTGAATTGGGAATTCCTGTTTTTGTTATTGTTGTAACTATAGTCATACTTCATTGGTTTCTCAATGGTTTCCATCACTGGAATTTTGGATGTTATCAAGATTTTTTAAAAGGTCTTGTTAAAAAAAAAAAGACCCATCTTATAAAGCTGTTTCTAATTCTCTGTAAAGTTAACTTGCACCTTGAGATTGTAGCAATAAGGTAGAGTTTTTATTTTTGTATTTTTTTTATTCTAAGGGATAACTTTGAAATGATAAATTTTAAAAATTAATAAATAATTCCTGGTGAAGTTGGCTTTAATTTTAAATATAAGCAAAAACTTAATTTTGATGGCTAGTAGAGCCACAACTAAATTCATAGTAATTTCTTCTAAAGTAATACTAAGATTTAATGTGATATAGTGTGAACAGCACTGGGATTAATAATTAGGAATTATACATTCAAGTCTTGGCTCTTCTACTAACTAGCTATGTGACCCTAGGGAATTAGACGAGTTACTTTCCTTCCCTACCTGACTTACTGTCTTCCTGCCTCCTTCCTTTCTTCCCCTTTTCCATCTCTTCCTTCCATTTTCCTTCCCTTCCTTCTCTTTTCACTCCCATTTCTTTGCCCCTTTTCCTCCCCTTCTCTCTCCCTTCTTCATCTTCTCTCTCTCTTCCTTGCTTCCTTCCATCTGTCCATATGTCTTTCAGTAAGTATTTGTTAAACATTATTAGGTTCTGAGAAGCATATCAAGTTTAATTAAAACAATCCCTGATCTCGTTGAAGCATGTAGTAATACAAGGGATAAGATAAAAACACAGTCAACAAGCATTTATTAAGCACCTACTATGTGCCAGGCACTGGTCTAGGCACTGGGGATACAAAGAAAGGCAAAAGACAGCCCCTGTATTTAAAGAGCTCACTGTCTAATGAGAAAGACAACATGCAAACAAATAGGTACAAAGAAAATAGATACAGAATAAATTGAAGATAATAAACAATAGGGAAGGTACCAGCATTAAAGAGGGTTGGGGAAAACTTCTTGTAGGTGAGATTTAGCTGGGAATTGAACAAAACTAGGGAAGCCAGGAGGGAGAGAATTTCAGGCATGGGGTGCAGCCAGTGAAGATGCCTGGAGTTGAGAGATGGTTTATCTTGTGCAAGGACACCAGTGTCACTGGATTGCAGAGTACGTGGGAGTGAGTAAGATGTAAGAATACTGGAAAGGCAGGAGAGAATTGGAGGTGAAATGGTGAGACCTGAAGTTTAGGAAGCTCAATTTGACTTCTGAGTGGGAGAATGGATTAGAATGGGGAGAGACTTAAGGCAGAGAGACCAACGAAAAGGCTAATGCAGTAGTCCAGATAGGAGGTGATGAGGACCTGGGCCAGAGTGGTGGCAGTGTCAGAGGAGAGGAAGGGAGCTTATGAGTGATGTTACCAATGCAGAAATGACAGAACTTGCTGCCTGATTGGATATGGAGGAATAAGAGAGTGAAAAGTCAAGGATGACACCTGGGTCTTGAGCCTGGGTGACTGGGAGGATGGTGGTACCCTCCACAGTAATAGGGAATTTAGAGTGGGGACTTGAAGGAAGGATGATGAGTTTGGTTTTAGACGTACTGAGTTTAAGATGTCTATGGGATATCCAGTTAGAGATGTCCAATAAACAATTGGAAATATGAGACTGAAAGTCAGGAGAGCAGTTAGGGCTGTACAAGTAGATTTGAGAATCATTAACAGAGATGCTAATTGGCTCTATGGAAACTGAGAGGATCACCAAGTAAAATAGTATAGAAGGAGAAGGCCCAGGACAGAGTACTGTTAGCAGCTATGTGCTGGATGAAGATATAGCAAAGGAGACTAAGAAGTATTGGTCAGCTGGATAAGAAGAGAACCAGGAGGGAGTAGTGTCGCACATACCTTGAGGGAAGAGAGTATCAAGGAGAAGATGGGGATTGACTGCCAAAGGCCACAGAGAGGTCCAGGAGGATGAAGATTGAGAAGAGGCTTTGGCGACTAGCACGGATAATTATAATCAACAATGTTATGTGGCAAGTGCATCAGACTTACAAAATAAAGTCCTATTTAATATCTGAGAGAGAAGGAAATTAGTGACAGGGGCATCTAGGAAGTTTTCAGGGAGAAAGTGGCATTTGAGATAGACTTTAAAGAATGAGTAGGAATTCAACTAGTGAAAAGCAGGAAGGAGAACATTCCACGTACTGGGAATAGTCTGAGCAAAAGCGCAGAAGTGGAGAAGAGCTGAATGTGTCAAGGAAGTGCAAATTAGTCCAGCTGCACAGCTGTGTAGAATGTATAGAGGGGAATTGATGCGTTATCCTGGAAAGGTAGGATGATTTTGGGTTGTTGAGGATCTTAAATACCAGACAAGGGAGTTTGAAGTTTATTTGGTAGGTAGTAGGGAACCACTGCAGATATCTTTAGTGGGTGTATGACATGACCAGATCTGTGAAAAAGGAAAATTATTCTCCCAGGGGTATCAAGGTTGGATTGTTATGGGGAGAAAGCAGAGAATGTGTAAGACCTTTCAGGAAGCTATTGCTTCCTTTTATTTATAGAACAGTGTGAAAGGATTCTTAAGGCAGTATTTTTTTTTTTTTAAGAACAATTCTTTTGTATTGGCTTGCAGAAGCAGATCTTGCTATTAAAACCTTAGCAAGATAGCAGTGACACAGCATATGGTCTAGATGGTTAGTAATAAGGACATGTATGAAGGTAGTAGCAGAAGAAATAATGTTAAGATAACATATGAATTTCAATATTCTGGATATGAAAGATGGTAAAGTGTAAGGGGGTAACTATGACAGTATATGGTTGAAGTGAGGCAGACACAGAAGTCTGTCTTGGAATTGAGAAAGTTGAGTCAGGTTGTTAGAGGGATCATTAACATGAATATTGAAGCCCCAAGAATGACAGCAGGCACAGAACTGGAGAGGGAGACTCTTAAGTCTAAAAGCTATTTGAATTTCCCAGCAATTCAGAAGTAGAAGTAAAACTTACCCCAAATCTTAGTTCTGTCCAATGGCAGATAGCAAATATTTAGTTTTTAAAAACTATTAATTGTATTTTCACAAATCTGTAAAATCCTCTCAAAACATGTCATTTTAAACTTAGAGTAGAAAGGAATTTAAGAGGCGGTTTTGGTATTTTCAAATGTTAAGTCAGCAAAGTTTATATTACATATTTAGAAGATGCTTCTAACAATGCCAGAAACATTACTGTGGATGTAATTTGTTTGATCACTGAATGGATTTCAGTCTAGGTATATTTATTAGCTTTTTCTCTTGGTGTGATATCTTGTCATAAGCAATATCAAACTGCCATCTTTGAGTTTCAGTTTCAGAAAGCTGCTTGGAAGAGGATGGTAGGTGATAGCCACAAGGATGGGGAGTGGGTGCTCGAAGCTCATTACGGTACTCAAAAAAGGGAGGATGAGTAATTTTGGAGCAGAAATGGGGAGTGAGGAATATGGATGGACACTCTTCCTCCTAGCCTGATGAGTTGAATCAGGAAGGAATTGTGTCCTACACTTGAGAGAGTTGAAAGGGATATACTGTTCTCAGGAGAGAGCCAAGTTTCAGTTTAAAGTGAGGGGAGAGTAGGAATGATGGTTAAAAAGTTCAAGGATGTAAAGGTGTTTGTTGAGAACCGTAGTAGGGGTTCCAAAGGCTATAGTACTAGGTCTTGGAGGTGAAGTTGGGCTGAAATATGCCTGGAGAAGAGGAAGGTTAATTAAAATAGGAATGTTGATTTGGGAGGAATTAGTAGGGGAAGGCCTCTGGTGATTAAGGTGCTGAGAATGTATTACAAGGACTGGGAACCACTGCATTGGGAGGTAGATTTTGTGCTATGAATAGATTTTAGATGTTAGAGGACTTGCAAACTTAACTTGTTCCAGGCTTTTGAAACAGAATTTGGAATATTGAAGTTTTGGTGTGTACCTGCAGGAAAGCCTGGCCTCAAGTTTTTCTGATCATTTTTCAGAATGGTTCTACCAATGCATAGCTCCCCCAACAAAATACCGGTATGACAATCTCCCCCAGCCCCTAGCCTACCTCTCAGAGATATTGTGATAGTAAAATGAGCAAGAACGTTTGGATGAAAAGTATTGATGTAAATTTTTTAAAAATCTTATTAATCATTTCTCCATAGTCCAAATGTCCTCAGAAAGGAAGAACAGGTAGAAAAAGTTCAAGAGTTAAATCCATATCTGAGTAATGGACCACATAGAAAGAACCCATGTGATCTCCAGTGTGATCCTGCCTCTGAGTCCTGTAGCCCAACTCAGTCAGACACTACAGACTTCTCAGATCAGGTAAGCTTGGCTGGGCCTGAGCTGTCTGCTTGTGTAAGGACACGACTCTGCCTTGTGAAAGAGGTCAACAAACTGTCAACAATAAGTATGTTACTTTTCCCTCAAAGCAAGAAGACAAGCTCTGGGGCATTACGAGGGGACCAAATGAGGGGTACTTCTAGTCTTACTTCTCAAAATTCATGTATTCTATTTTGAATGCCAGGAAATTCCATCCTCTGTGACTTTGAGATGTTTATTTTGAGTTGTCTAGTCACACGTATTCTAATGAAGGTTCAGAGTTTATGGTAGATGATAGCACAAGGGGTGCAAGTGCAGAGGGCTGCAATTTTTAAACCTAGCCTGGGGTGATCCAGGCCAGTTCAGTAGGCATTTATTTATATGCCATGCAAATGCCTTCTCCATTAAAATCTCTACTCTTCCCCCCTCCCCCGAGTTATTCTAAGCACTCTGGGAAGCTTTTAGCTCAAATAACCTGTGCTATGTTTGTCAATTGAAGAGACAAGGAACAACCTATTGAACATTAGGAACAGTGTTTCCTTATTCCAGATGATTGTAAATTATTGTTGGGAAGAAGTAATTAGAAATTAATTGCTAAAAAAAAAAGAATAAATTCCATCAGTGCAAATATCATTAAAAGGAAGGGTTCTGTAAAAAGATGTCATTTCCATTATGGTGACCCATTGTAATGGTGTTTTTTGATCTGGTTAGGACAAATTCTCTAAGACAACGTATTGTAGAGATATGTGGGGAGATAGTATAAATAATGCCGGACATAGAGTCGGAGGGCCTGGGCTCATTTCCCAGGTTGACCGCTTACTACCACCCATGTAACCCAAGCAAGTCATTTAACCTCCAGGGCCTTAGTTTTTAGTTTCTTCATCTCTAAAATGAAGGGGCCGGACTAGATAGATAACCTCTGAGGACCTTTTCAACCTGAAATTGGTATCTTGTGTAGTACAGGTGCTTTCTCTGGCTTGGCAACGGTCTCTGCTTTTAATGAAATTACCTGATTGTGTATTGTTTGTGCTTCAGCAGGTAGGAAGATTTATGTTAACAAATGTCTTAATTAGGCAGAGTAGATGACAATATTAATAAATAATTGTAAGTGTTTTTTCCTCAAAGGCAATGTGGGAATCCCTCCCATGGATAATTAAGGACTCACTGTATTGAGAATTGACTATGCTTAAGGTATTCTATTAATAGCCAGAGTACTAGTTGTTAATGGAGTGGCATTTATGGATGTGGATACATTAATACATCCTTGAGAAGATCAGTTAACAGATGATTCCGTGACTGTTAGTAGTACATTCGCCTAATTGATACACTTTTCTTTCCTTTTCAATTATGAGAACAGAATAAACCTTTTGAAAGTAGAGTATCATTGCCAGCCTTGGCTATCACCTTGAGGATTAAATAGTGGCTTTCTGTCCTCAGTGACATGAAATTTATGTTTCCCATTCAACAGCCACAACAAACGTAAAACCAGATCAGTGTATCAGAGCACCTCTGGTCGACCCAGCATTGTCTCACTACACCTTTAGACTGCCCCTCTAAAGAGCTGAAGTAGGAATCCCTTTTTGGGGGAAAAAGCATAGTTTCAGCTGAACCAGAGCTCAGAGACTCATTTCTTTTCCCTCTCAGGGCACAAGGAACAAACCAACCACAAAACATATAAAAAGTCAAGAGGAAACCAGGGAGGAGCAGCAGCAGCAGCAGCAGCAGCAGCAGCAGCAGCAGCAGCAGCAGCAGCAGCAGCTCTGGGAAGCGCGGAGGCAGTGTGCAGTGAGCTTAATTCCTTCTACTCTTATTCAGTCTAATTCTGAGAACAATCAGAGAATCTCGCTGTCAAGTCAGTTAACCTCTTTGAGACAGTTTATTATCTGTAAAGTGTGATAATGCCTGTTAGGCCTGATGTGAGTCAGCTCAACTATGATAATGCCTGTAAAATGTTTTAACTTTTCCTATAAAGATTGCTGTTGTTATTATTCATTATAAGTTATAATTTATTGTTGATTATACATTATTATATTGTTATTTATTATTATTATTATTAGTAATATTATTTCAAATATCATTTGCCATCTCTTCCTTTTCTCGGTGACCTGAATAGCATTAACTAAGATATGCTACTTTTCCTTTAACAGGACTTCAAAAAACAGTTGGACACCATGATTCTCCAGTGGCAACAGAAGCAAGTGCAGATTAAAGAGAAAGATAAAATCATTGCTGGTCTTAACCAACAAGTTTCTTCAGGAAACCACAAGATTTCCAGGCAAGTGCAAAGCTTTGGCCTGGTAGCTGAAGGGAAGCCGCGGCTCTGCAGTTCAGTGCAGTTCAGGCTCTAGAACAGAAAAACCGCATCTGGCCCGTAGGTGGCGCTGTGGCTCCACATGTTAGTGATGCTGACACCAGACCTGGGATCTCTTCAAACCAAAAATAATCACAGAATTTGCCTTGCCAGCTGGATAAGGAGCTCATAGTCACTGATCACTCTGTGCATCTGGTTTTTCATGTGCAGGGCAAGCATAGTGATAATAGTTTTATTTATGGGGGCTGATTAGTTTTCAGGTCATGGCTCCTCTTTGTCTTATGTGTGACTGATTTGTAGGTTGATTCTCTGTATCATTTTACATGGAAGCAGCTAGATGGCTTAGTGAATAGAGCCTTGGGCCTGGAGTCAGGAAGATCTTAGTTCAAACCAGGCCTCAGACATGTAGTAGCTGTGTTACCTTGGGCAAGTCATGTAAATCTCTTAATCCACTGGAGAAAAAAAATGGTAAACCATTCCAGTATCTTTGCCAAGAAAATCCCATAGGTTACAAAGACTCGGATACAACTGAACAACAAAAATCATTATACATGTCTCTCTTGGTCGATGCTTTCCTCACAGACATCAGAGTCAGTTGAGCACCATCTCTTTTGTCCATCACTGTGATTCACAGTGCTTAGACTGTGATCAAAATTGATCAAAATCAATTCAGGAAGAGCAACTACTTCCCACCCCCTTGCCCTTTCTCCCTTGAATTTACACAACCCTCAGTCTCTATTTCTCTAACATTTTTGACTTGTGACTTTCTATAGCAGGCAAAATGAACCCTCCTTTCATACTTGCAACATCTAGAAACAAACAAACAAAAACTTTACCAGAATTAATTAAATTATAGCTCATGAAATGTCACAAAAAATCAGCCTGTAGATGATAATTTGAGAACTATTGCCCTTCTTTAGAGCTAGGTCAAGGAACATAGTAAAAGACTGGAGCAGAACCTTTAGAAAAAAATTAGCTTTTTAATGATGCCTTTTGTTTTTTATATCATAATTATTTCTGGATCTGCCTCTGCTTCCTTGAAGTCTTGTGTTAGTGAGCTCTTGTTTATAATGTAAACCAAACCAAACCAAACCAAACCAGTAAAGCAAAACCAAACTACTCAGCAATTATATCTGAAATGTATATAGTGTTTTGCATCCATAGTTTTCCATCTCTTTCAGGAAATGAGAAAGGTGCATTTTCTCATTCCTTGTCTGGACTAATGCTCGTCATTACAGTTATACATTGTTCATCTTTGTTTGACTATTCTTTTAATTTATCTCAGTGTAGTCAGGTTTATAGTTTTCCTGGTTCTGCCTACTTCAGTCAGTATTAATTTATAATTCTTCCCATGCTTCTCTGAATTGCACATATTTTTTGATTCTTATGTTACAATGATATTCTGTTACATTGATATATTACGTTTTTTTAAGCCATTCTGTAATAGATGGGCACCCACTTTGTTTCCAGATTTTTGCTCCCGCAAAAAATGCTGCCATGAATATTTGGTGTCTCTTGTATCTTTTTTTTTCCCCCCTGCTTGGGGTATATAGGAGCTCTGGATTAAAGGGCATGAACAATTTAGTGACTTTTCTTACTGAATTCTAAATCATTTTGCAGAAGTGTTGGAATAACATGTAGCTCCATCAATAGAGTATTAGCATTTCCATCTTCAGGCAGCACCTCCAATACTGATTGTTTCTCATTTTTGCACCTTTGTAGGGCAAGACCCTTTATATAAAATCTGTATAACTTCTATGATATTGGGAGAAAGCTTGGGAAGGGATATCAATCTTGAAATTTTTTTCTCATATTAATGTTAAGGTGGGTTGTGGGGAGTACGAGTTTGTGTTAGCTGGGATCTCTTAAATGAAATATTGAAGCTGGATTTTTTTTGGTTGTTAAGCCTCTGAGGCCAGAGAGATCCTTTAGGCCAAATCATTCAAGTCCAAACAGAGAGGAGTGTTGAACATGGCAGAACTCTCCTTTGGGCCCTCTGAATTGGCAGCATTAATCTAGTTAAATTCTTAGTATTTTAGTTAGGTTAAGTGCTTGTGGCCAGGATCCAGGGCTTGATCTTTTGGCTTGAATCCTTTGCTTAAACCATAGAAATCTAAGGTCACTTTTTTTTTTTTTTTTTTTTTTTTTGGCAATGGGGTTAAGTTATTTGCTCAGGGTCACCCAGCTAGTAAGTGTTATGTGTCTGAGGCTGGATTTGAACTCAGGTCCTCCTGAATCCAGGGCCGGTGCTCTTTCCACTGTGCCACCTAGCTGCCCCCTAAGGTCACTTTTTAGAAACTGTTATAGGATCCTAGGGTTGTAATGAAAACTAGCCATGAGAGTAGTAGTAGTAGTAGTAGAGAGAGATGCTCCTCTGTGTTAGGTACCACCTGGATTATTCTTTTTTCTGTCAAATCCTTTAAAATAGAGGTTCTTAAACTTTTTTGTCTCATGGACCCCTTTGGCAATTTGATGAAATCTGTGGACCCCTTCTCAGAATAATATTTTTAATGCATAAAATGAAATACAAAGGATTAGAAAGGAAACCAATTATGTTGAAATACAGTTATCAATATTAAAAAAAAAATAAGCTCACAGATCCAGATTAAAGAATCCTCATTTTAAAACATGATCTAGGGGCTGGCCTAATAATACAGTCCTGTTGGAATCTGCATCAGAATCCAGTGTAAGGATATACTGGATTTCTTTCACCCACTAGATTCATTTAAAAAATATCTGTTTTGTTTGTTGTATTTGAGGCACTGTGCTAGACCCCCAGGGGATAAAAGGATGAATCAGCTTTAGTACTTGTGCAGCTTTACAGTTTTGTAACTCAGATTAAGAAGGTGCACAGATAACTACAAAACAAGATACTAACCCAAGGGATGTCCTCGTAATATAGTACGTGTGTTCACAAGGATGGAAGAGGCCTGAGAGAGCATCTGTAGCTGGAACAGTCAGGGAAGGATTCATGGAGGAGGTGGCTCTTGAGTGAGACCTTGGAGGAAGAATTTTGGAAGGCAGAGATGGAAGAGACACAATGGGAAAGGGTAGGAAAATACAAGTTGTGTTCTGGGAATGCCTGGAGTAAAAGGTTTGGGTGTAGAAATTAGTGGGACACACGGTTAGGTGTACTGAATTAGAAAAAACTTCCTAGGACTAATGGATTTTAACCAAAGGAAAGGCAACAGTGTTAGGGTTAAGAGCTCATTTTTTACTGGAAAGAGCATATTTGGAACCAGAGTCAAATCCTGGCTCTCTACCTGGTTATCTTCTGGTAAATCACTTGACATCCCTGGGCCTCAGTTTCTTTGTCTGTAAAATGAAGAGATTGCACTAGGTGATTTTTGTCAAGTTTTTTCCAGCTCTAATTTTTATGATCTACTGAGTATCCACCCTAGTGTATGTCCATATTACGTAGACAATACAAAAGAGGTAGAATACAAATTTTCTTCCCTCACGGAGTCTGTAGCCTAATTGAGAAGACAAGAAAAAATGAGATTGAAGCCCTGCATGGTGAAGTGACTTGGCAAAGGTCACTCATTTAATTAGTGACAGTCACAGAACACAGGTCTTCGAACTCTCCACTATATGCCTACCCACTCTAACCCAAGATCTGCCAAGTAAAATAGTGAAATCATAGAAACACCCCAGAGAAAGGGTAAATAAATGTAACCTTAGAGACTTTGCTACTTTCCTACTGCTTATTTAGCCCTCTTCTCTAAAATGGTAAGGCTTATCTAATTTTCTAATTAAGAGAATGATACCTTCCTTACAGAGGCCCTTTTCTTCCTCTCTGCATTCTTAGTCCACTGGAAGAGTGGTCACAAGCTCCTTTCTCACTTCTGAAAAGCTTAGAGAAAAGGTGGATTGGTTGACTCAGAAATCTAGGATGAGACAAGCCTGCCAAGTTTTAGAATTCCATGCTCTAAGGTTCTCAGAGCACACGTTTTAGTTTCAGTTAACTTCCATTAACCAAAACCCTGTGTATCTTGAGGGCCTACATCTATCAGATTTTCAGGAAAAAATGGTCTTTATATCTCCCTGTGTTAGTCAATTTAATAGGACAAATGTAAAAACCCAGTTATGAATAGGAATACAGCTGTAGCAAGGGGGAAGGGGAATTTAAGAATAAATCATTAGGCATGTATTAAGTACTTACTATGTGTCAGGCCAGGGGTGGGGAACCTGCTGCCTCAAGGCCACATGTAGCCTTCTAGGTCCTTGGGTGCAGCCTTTTGACCGAGTCCAAGTTTTACAGAACAGATCCTTTTATTAAGGTGATTTATTCTGTGAAGTTTAGATTCAGTCAGAGGGCTGAACTTGAGGACCTGGAGGACCACATGTGGCCTCCAGGCTGCGAGTTCTCCACTCCTCTGCCCAGCGCTGTGCTAGTAGAGAGGAGAGAGAGGCCTGGACCTATAGATCTAGGGGTGCCGCATAGTGATAAGTCAGCACACGGGAGCTGATGAGGTCACCAAATGAGAGTGCAAAGAAAGAAGAGCATCTGGGGTAGAGGATGGGATTTGTATCGAGCAGTGAGCCACTTTTTATCACTTTATATTTTTATGTTCTATTCTTGCAAATAAACTTTAAAAAACTTTTCAGTATATCATAAGTTTGGCCAGATTCTTCAGCGTGTTCATCCAGGGTTCTTACATTTACTTGATGGAATTGGCTGTTACTACAGCACCAGTGCCATGGGGTTGTATTTTAAGTTTTAATTAAAGTTCTTATTTGCCTACAACACTGTTCCTTTCAGGCCCATCCTAATTTCCTCCAGACCCTGGGTCTTGGCTAATTTGCATGGCTCGATATAGTGTCTTCCTCTTCAGGGCCATAAAGTCTTCAATCTTCATAGGAGCTCTTGAGCATTGAGAGATGCTCTTTTCGTTTTACTAATGCACAAACTGAAGTCCAGAAAAGTGACAGTCATTCTCCCATAGTCCCTCTGGGAGCTGTTTGTTGACTTGGGAACATAAGGCAAGACTCTACACTTTTCCACCTTGTTGGCTATAGCACTATTTTTATTTTCTGGGGAGTTTTGAAAAATGGAAGGATAAAAAATCACTTAAGAAGGAGTATTTTTTTTAAAATTAATTTATTTTGATTTATCAACAATCGCTTCCATAAGCTTTTGAGTTTAAAATTTTTCTCCACCTCCTTCACCCCCCCCCCCCAAGACGGTGCACAATCTGATATAGGCTCTACATAGAACTCCTGTTAAACATTTTTTCACATTAGTCATGTTGTAAGGAAAAATTAGAAGCAATAGAAGGATCCACAAGAAACAGGAAACAAAACAAAACAGAAGGAAAAAATAAAGAGCAAATAGTATGCATCGATCTGCATTCAAACTCCGTAGTTCTTTCTCTGGATATGGATAGCATTTTCCATCATGAGACATTTGGAGATGTCTTAGATCCTTGTATTGCTGACAAGGGCTAAGTCTATCAAAATTAGTCATCACACAATGTGACTGTTACTGTGTACAATGTTCTCCTGTTCTGCTGACTTTACTCAGCATCAGACCATACAAGTCTTTACAGGTTTTTCTGAAGTCTGCCTGCTCATCATTTCTTATAGCACAATAGTATTCCATTACATTCATGTACCACAACTTGTTTGACCATTCCCCAGCTATTGGGTATCCCCTCAATTTCTAATTCTTTCCCACCACAGAAAGAGCTGCTATACATATTTTTGTACGTGTGGGTACTCTACTCCTTCTTGATGAAATACAAAGCCATTCCAGCTTTGATAATGAGTGATCATTTCTACTTTGGTGATATTATCTTTTATTTGCCTAGATTACAGCAGGAAATCCAGGCTAAAGATTCTGAAATCAGGAAGCTTAAAGAGAAACTTGCTTCAGAAAGGTATATTTTATTACTTAACCTTTTATTGTGAATGATTGTGAAATTCTTTGAAATTTCATTCAAGCTGTCAAGCACTTGTGTTAGGATTCTGATACATAGATAGATGAAGTCATTATTAGGGAGGTGACTAGGATTGGTCAATGAGAGCCCAGTCCTTATGAGCATATGCAGTGTACTCTACTGATGCAGTGTCCACATGGACTTTGGAAGATGTACAGATATTCTGTGACTGATTCTAGACCTCTTGTCACAGTGTCTGCTCTTGCTCTAAAGTGCACGTGGGGAGTTCATCAACTGAGCATGCTACTTAGACTCATAAGATCTGGGCTTTCATTGGCCAATCCCAGTCACCCAGCTTACATTAGTTTATTTGTTACCACACAGCAAAGGATTGTAAGAATTGGAACTCAACCCTAAGTCAAGTCTATTTGGTACTTTGATGCTTTCTGAAACTTGAAGGAAAAAAAATACGTCTATTTCTTCCCAGAAAATTTTATTTATATCTGTATTTATGTATATATGTGTTATATTTCTGTTTTGTTTTGGTATAGACCTATGATGTTGGCAATGTAGAGAACTGTGAGTGAGGGAAGATTTCTTTAATAATGTAGCTTAGCGACTTGTGGGCAATTTGTAACCTTGGAATTGCCTGGTGGTAGTGAGAGGTTAAGTGGTTTATCCAAGGTCACACAGCTGATATGTGTCCAAGGTGATATGATGAAGAATTAATTCCTCTAGCCTGTACTTAGTATATCTGATTTAATACTTCATATTTTATTCCAAGTGCTTATATCGTATTGTATTTTGATTTTCATTAAGAGAGTCATCTGGAGTCCAAGTGTTTATCTTGAGAAATCATGGAGAAGATGCTTTTTGAAAGCTTGTCAAATAAAATATAAAGTGTTTGTACTGTATGATACGTACATTAACTATTCCAGTCTCCCTTTATAAAGAAGAACTAGAGAGAGAAGATAAATTGAGCTCATTTGATTGTAGCAGATTCTTGACCATCATATGCAGTAATGGTTCATCTTAAGACAAAGGAGAGAAAATGATAGCATTTTCACTTGCGGTCTTCATTAGGGACATTCTTGGTTTGCTGTGTAAGGAATGCTGGGTTTTCTCTGCAAAAGTACAATGGAATGAGTTAAACTGACTGGTATTCAGTGTCACTGAGTTCCTTCTAGCACACATGCATGTGTGTGCATGTACACACACACACAGACATACACACAAGAGCCTAAATAACATCACTGAAGTAATCAATATAGGCTTTTAAGGTAAAGGAATTGAGAAGAGGGGTAATCTTTTGTTGATCCTGTCATTGAGATGGAAATACTTTTAGAAATCAGGTTTTGTGGGAGGTCATTTGCTTTCTGGAGAAACAGCCTATGAAATTCAGTAAGATATTAAGCTATTTCAAAACAGTTACCAAGATCCTGACAGGGAGTACCCAAATCCAATGCTAGGCATTGCTGCTGTTCTACCAGGGTGGAGGTGGAGGACAGAACCACTGCCTTCACGGAACTATGTGAGGCCATCCCATGATCAGCGTGCAGTCTGCGCCTCTGTCTCTAATGAAGTAACAATGCTGAAAACTCCTTGTGGTCATCTCATTAACTCTTTAGTGTTTTCACATTTTAGATCTCAATGGGAAAGGGAGAAGAATAAGCTGGAAGCCAAAGCTAAAAAGTGCTTGAGCAAGCTGAATGGAGAAACCAATAGAGCTATAACAGCAGAGGTAAAAAAAAAAAAAAAAAAAGCAAAGGAAATAAAGAGGTCTTAACTGAGCTTTGCTTATTGCCACACTAGTGAGTTTAATAATGGACGTCCTGCCCTTAATACAATACCGAAAAAAAACACTTGGGGACCATAGCTTTAGCTCATGGGTATGGGTAATTTGCAGGCTCTTTGTCCTTTTAGTAAATGCTGTTGAGGACCTGCCATTTCTCAAAAAATAAAGCAAAAACCCCCAGGACTGATGCTCTTCATAAATGTTTTTCAAATTAAACCAAGTTATTTCTCTGCCATCACTTGATCCTTGCTGTAATGCAACATGTAAGACTACAGATACAAACTGGGAGCGTTTCCACATCAGGCAACTGGACAAAGCCTCCAGGGATGTTAGCTTGCAGCTGCTCCATCTTCCAGAGTGAGGTTTACATTTCAGGCCCAAATGAGCAAGGCGCAGGGTAGCTTGGTCTTGCAGAGGGGCCATTAATAATAGCACTAGAAAAGAGTTCTCTTAATGGAAACATGTCACGGAACCTCAGAACTAGAGAGCATGTTAAGAGCTGTCTAGTCCAGCTCTTAGTCAAAAAAGGTATTTTCCGTTACAACATGCCCAATGAGTCCTCTGCTTGAAGAACTCCAGTAAGAGTTACTTGCCACCTCCCAAGGCATCCCATTTTCCTTTTGGACATCTCTGTTAGGGAATACTTTTTCCCTGACCTCAAACTAAGTTTGCAACATCTACCTGTATTACTCTTGTTTCTGATTTCTGGGGCCAAACGGGACAGATCTAATTCCTGTTGCTCATGACTGCACCAATATTTACTGTGTTTATCAGAAGCAGGACTTGAGCTTTGGGATCTTCCTGACCTTGAAGCCCACTCTGTCCACTATGCCCGGTTGTCTCTACCAAACTCGATATTCAGTAAAATTGTAATCATCAGAGAACTGCGTGGTATTAACTGTATTCTATAAACTCCTTCATGGAGTCTCTGTCAGGTGTGCATGATGGACAGGAAACCAAGGTTTGCATCATGTTTTAGAGTTGGGATATTTGAGTATTAGAAGCAAAGATAGAGAAATCACTAAAACTGCACTCCAGGTGAATTGTATATGACGTGCTAGATTTTGAAAGGCTGTCTTCAGATTCTCTTCTTTGAATGTCAAAAATTGTAGGTGTGGTTCCTGCAGAGCCGAAGAGATTTTGGTCTTCGTCAGCTGGAACAGACTGAGAGGGAGTGCCTGCTTCAGCTTATCCGTGCAACCACCGTGGCATCGAGGTAACCCTTTTCTTCCCTTCAAGGTATCTTGACTTCAGACAATGTTCAAAAAATGAGCGCAAGGTCTAATATATATATTTTTACGTAGATGAGATTGGAGTGAGGAAGTAATTTTTGCCAGCAAATTATTTAATCACTTTCATGTCTGTATTCTAATGTCTCTGTTGGAGCGTTGAGAAGTCTGCTGGTGTGCAGTAATAGCTGAGAGCCAAGAAATACAAGTATAGACAGAAACAGCAGGGACTCACTTAGGAGGACCAGGAGACTTCTCCCTTTCCCCATAGTGAAATAAATCAAGACCTTGCGATAGAGGTACTGTATGTGCATGCCAACTACACGGCATAGGATGCATGCTAATTGTAAAACTTTCTCTAAAGATTCTTACTTTTAAGGCCTGTGCTTGAAAGCCTTCTCTCCCCCTTCTTATCATTTAGAGGATAACACTAATACCTAAGGTTATATTTGCTGTAGGTGATAGTTTCATCCTCAGTGGCTAGGGAATAGTTTCCTCCCCTTCAAGGGGAATCCCTAAAGCTGAGACAGGATAGAAAGAAAAAACACTTTTGAAATTGAGACCTTGCAGATTTTCATTAAATGGATGCTCTTATTAATGACTTAAACCTCAAAGAGTTACCCAGGCTCCTTCCCTGCCTCCTGGGAGCTAGGTGGTACTGAAGGAGGATTATTATCTAACTAATCCCATGGAGCCTTTTGAAAGATGAGAAGAGAGCTCTCCTCAGGTGATCACAGATGCTAAGACTGCATTTACATCTGTAAGGGGAAGTGATAGAATTGAATCACCTCCTGCTTTAATACTTGTGAGGCCTGAGCTATACACTGGAAGTCAACTCTTTACCTGTTACTCATATCATCCATCAGTCAGTGCCTCAGAATCCGTTCATTCACTGTTTAGTAAGGGTGTTTTACTCTGTGGCAGACTATTCCTTCCCTCCCTTCCCCTCCACCATTTTGGTAGCATATTGGGTGGAAAAGTATCTAGACTAACTTGCCCTAAATAAATTCTTCCTCTGAATTAAAACAAAACACCTTGGTTCTCTGGAAGCAGGTTAGTTTTGCTGGGTAAAAGACACTATATTTTTATTCTTAAAGTATAAAAAAACCCCTTTCTGAGTAACTTTCAGTCCACCTGAAAAGGGTTTTTTGACTGGTTGTTTTCAGTGCTGGTTTGCATTTTCCTGCTGTGGGCCACTTAACCTGTGAGCTTAGGATGAAGTATTTAAAAGTACAGTGTGTAAAAACATTGACAGGCTGTACAACGTGCCTTGCGTTCTCACTTGCATATTATTGTATAATGCCTCAGACTTATATAGTCATATTTTCACCTAAGAACCTATAGAGAGTTTTATAGAAACTTAAATGGTATGTGAAGTGAGGGAGGTTTATCGTATGTCACTCTTTTTCTATACCAGCCATCCAGAATCACTTCAGCTAAAAGCAGCTGTAGAAAGTTGGGATACCATTGTGGCAGATGTCAGGAACAAAATTGCATTCAGCAGGGTAAGGACATTTTCGAGAAAACTGTCTAAATCATATACGATGATCTTAAAAGAAGACTTGGTTCCTTCAGAAGTAGTGATTGGATGTATACAAGTGATATTGTGCATTGTGTTTATTAAATTATATTTATATTTAATTTAATGAATAAGTGAGGGTTTTTTTTTTTTGGAACTTGGAATTGATCTATGGAAGTGATGCTATACACACATGCAGATTTTCTTAAATTGTCATTTTTTTCCCTTAACTTTTGGGAAAGTATGGAATAACGTGCTGTGCTTTTACATCTAGTTTCTTAAAATTTAAAATCTAACTCTGAAATAATAAAGCAGAAGTAAACAGCTGACTTGGTTTTTATTATTGTTATGAATGGGGGGGGAGAATAAAGTGAAAGCAAGTAATAAGCTTATTAGTTTCCAGATCTAAGTCATTCCATTCTTGTTTTGCAAAATTCTTGGGAAACTTTTCATCAATGAAAATTGATGAAAAATGGTAGTGGGGAAAAACTGTGGCATGGGTGATTGAAATATATTTTGGTGTTTTCATGAAAAGGTAGATGCATCTCATCTAGAAATCTATAATACTTCATAGTACAACTTTATTATTTTTTTTGAAGAACTGATTTAGGAAGAGCTAGAAATTTGTCCATTTTTCCCATGTTGTACCTTCCTCTAACCCCTCTCACATCTGTGATCTGGCAACCCCACTCCATCCTGGGAATGGATAACATTGTCATTTAAGATAATGCAAAGTACCAAACAAAGCAAGGCTGCCTCAGTTGTTCTCCAAACTTGATATCTTTCAGGTTCACAAATAGAAAGGTGGTTTTCTTTACTGTTTTGCTTTTTCCTACTGTGAATTTTTCTTGTAAGTTCTTTGTAAATCCAAATGTGCTATATAAATATAAATTATTATGAGTTGTCAAAGGGGACAGAAGCAGTAATGCGATGTTTTCCTATAAGTGACCACGTTTTCCCCACTACATGAGGAATGATACAGAGTATACAGAGATACTGGAAAGATCACCAAGTCAAAAATATACTAAACTTCAGGTGTGGGGGTCATGTCTAAGAACTCATGACTTATGAATACCTGGGAGTAGAGAGAGAGGGTGAGAGCTATGGATTGGGCATGGTATTAGTAAAAATATTTCAATTAATATTAAATCTTTTTTCCTGCACTAACAATTAGTTAAATTTACTTTCAGAAATCAGTTTCTTAAATAGACTATCACAACCTATATAGTATTTATAGTCTTACGCTACATTTAAGAATGCAAACTGAATCAAAATTAATTTGAAATCCTGTTTGTTCATAATAGACTAATGTTCTGAACTATGCTTTTCTTCTTCCACTAGACACAATACAATGAACATATTGCTCTGGTGAAGAATGGTTATCCTCTGAATTGCTTGCCTCCATTACAGATTCCTCCACCACCACCCAGTCCTGATATATTGGTAAAAAATACTGGATTTTTAAATGTCACCTTCATCTTGATAAACAGTAATGTTATAAAATGTGGAATTTGCAATATATATGGCTATGCTGTGAATAATAAGAATTATACTCATACACATTAGGGTGTGGTAAAGAGTCTCTATCTTTCAAGTAAGTAAGCCTATGCTACTAAATTATCATAATGCATTAGATTGTGATATCTGTCTAAGATATCTTCATCTTTTAGAGAATCTCAAGATTCTGCTGTTGCCCCCTGTCATCCAGCTTTCTACCTCTTGTTCTTGGAATTATAGTCAGATTGTTGCTACTAGAAAGGACTGACAAATTGATTTCCCTTTGGCTCCACTCAATCCCTGAGATTCCCCAGAGCAAAACTTCCTTCCCTGGCCATCTCTGCCCTGTATGTGATGTTTCCCCCATTAGAGTATGGGCTCCTTAAAGGTAGAGACTGTCTCAGCTTTGGATTTATATAACCCAGGCACCTGTCACAGTGGCTGGCATATAGTAGGCTCTTAATCAACCCTTTTTTCATATATTCATTCACTCATCCTCATCAACTTTGTTTATATACTACCTTTAAGAGATGCTTAATAAGATAATAGGCCCACCTAGATCCTTTGTGTTTCTTAGTTACCAAACATTTCCCACTTCAATGCCTTACCAATACTAGGTTGGATATTAGCTTATATTCCAGACTTTATTAATTCTTATCTATATTCTTAACTCTGTACCACCACCACTACTCTAATCAAGACTTACCCATCCTTTTGCCACTTGCCATTATAACTTTACCCTCTGTTAAGTGATAGTGTCAATTAAATTAAAGTCCTTACTAATTTTTTTTCACTTCTTAATATTACTTTACTACATCACGATTTAACTGATGTGGGTCATCCCTCCACCAGTGCTTTTTGCAAGTCCTCTACAACATAGAAAATGGCCTTGCAGAGTTGCCATGGTCAAACAAGCCATCTTCCTGTGGCCAAGCTGGTGACCAGCCTATCTAAACTTAGCAAAGCTGGGTCCCCAGACAGCATTCATAGTTAGGTGGGACTTGCCACAATGCTGCAAAGCCCTTGAAGACTTACTCATGAGCCTCCCTCCTTGCTAATGTTGAAATTAGCTTGTGGGTTAGCTTTCCTGGTTGCATGATTTCTTAACTGAATCAAATTTACATGTTTCTAGAACGTCCTTAAAGGAATGAAATTTATATTTAGAATTGCAGGCACATTGGCAGACTAGGAATGTGGGTGTTGAAGAGAGATATTTGTGGAACATGTCCATTCTACTCCAGGAGAACCCTGCAAGTATTTTCTCCATTCTTTTAGACAGAGAGACTACAGCAATTAGAGTGACTTGTCTGGAAGCAGACTTCATGTTAGAGATAAACTGGAATCTATGCTGAAATCACAGAATCTAGAGTTGGAAAGAACCCCAAGAGAGTCTGATACAAGCCCTCTGGCTTGTTTAGAATTGTAGTAAACTCAGATCTTCTTTTGTGTGTACATTGTGAGGCTATCAGCATTATCCTAGGTTTGAATATTATAGCCATTCTGATATGACTGTGCAAACTCACCAAGAATTCTGTACTTGAAGTGAGATAGGTCCCAAAACTACTGAGGTATTTAAGCCTTCTGCCCCTCAGTACTGTCTGAACCTTCTCCCATGACACTGTTTTTTTTTTTTTGTTTTGTTTTGTTTTTTTGTTTGTTTTTGCTAGGCAATGGGGTTAGGTGACTTGTCCAGGATCACACAGCAAGTAAATGTTATGTGTCTGAGACTGGATTTGAACTCAGGTCTTCCTGAATCTAGGGCTGGTGCTCTATCCACTGTGCCACCTAGCTACCCCTCCCATGCCACTGTATTAAAGTGGCCTTAGGGTCACAGAAGACAGCCAGATGCTGAACATTAGAGTGGACTACCTGGTAACTTGTAGCCCCAAGGATACTTAAATATTTCAGCATCCTACTCTGTCTGGTTTCAAGGTGGTCAAGAGGAGACACCTTCAGGTCCAATTCAGTCTGATTCCAGAGTCTCCCTAGTTTAAAATAACTCCTAGAGTTTCTTGGTACCAGGCCAGCATGATCCCAAGGACCTGGGGCCAGTGATTATTCCACAGTCATGTAGATAAACTTTTTACTGCAGCCAGTTCAAGAAAACTTTCTAACTCTGGTCAGATTATTGCAAAAACATACCAAACGAAACCAAACTAAGGAGAATAAGGAAAAAAAAAACTAAAATGGCTCAGCAAAGCCAAGTGCAATATGAGAACCCTTAACACATCTTTTTTGGCCGGTTATCTGAGAGGGGACACTGTATGCTTCCTTTGAGCTTTCAGAATGTTCTTGCTAATTAACTGCTCTGCCTTATGGCACAGATCAATGCCAGTGCTAGGAAAGGAGAAGGGTAGAGTAGAAGGAGAAAGGAACCTGGAGTTGGAAGGTTTTGGTTCAAGTTCTGGCCTTGTTACAAATATGCTGTGTGAACTACGAAGGCAAGACACTTAGTTTCTTTTCTGTAAAATAATGAAAATGTGTCTTATCTGTAAAGTAATGAAAATGATACCGGCTGTATCTACTTTGCAGAGCTATGTAAAGATAATATGAATTAATTTCTGTGGAAAATCCTTTGTAAACTACGAAGTACCATGAAAATATAAAGGGTTATTGCTATTACGGAGAGGCAGTGTGGTGTCATGGATAGAGGGTGCACTTTGGAACCCAGAAGACCAGAGTTTGATGCCTGCCTCTGACTAATGCCATACATATAGTAACTGTGTGAGTAGGGGATAAGCTGCTTCACTTACCAGACTTGTAGGCAGTTTTTAAGATCCTATGCTAATCTGCACTGGTGGAGGGAGGTTCCACAAAAGGAGTTCCCTACACTAAAAACACAAGTCTGCCCACGCATTTCTATCCTGTATACAACATTACAAGGGTTTGTTTTGTTTTTGCTGCAAATTGAGGAATAATGAATAATGCCCAGATTGCAGACAGCAGTGTACCTGGGAAGTCTGTAATTTATAGGGGTAATTCTAGCCCAGTTATCAACTAGATGTGTTGCCTAAGGGTTGCCTAATTTCATTGTGTTTTTTTTCCCCCTATACATTATCTGTTCAATATTTAGGGGTCCTTTAAGGATAACAATTCCTTAGTCATCTAGTGCAACTTCATGTGGCACTGGAATTCTCTCTAACAGCCACCTAGACCCCTACACCCTGAAAGTCAAAGTGTTCTGCTTCCTTTTTTAGGCTCCTTCTTTGTCCTCTACAGTATGGCCTATCTAAAGGCCTCAAACCAGCAAGTGCTGACAAAGGAAGTCACTTTGTATCCTCTGGGAAGACCAGTGAAACCAGTGAGCATTCTGCATTCGAAGTCACTGCAGGCAGGCTTTCATTCCCCTCCCATTCCAACCTTTAAAGGTCAACACATCAGCATGTATTGGGGGTCCTAGCCTATGTTTGTGACCTCTCCCTAATACACAGGAAAGAAATGGGTGCCTTGTCATAGGCCTGGCATTCAGCTATGCGAGGAAGGAGTTGAACCAGACTGTCTCTGAGGTCTCTTCCAGCTCTAAAATTCTGTGATTCTACAAATGCTTAGGGGAATTAAGATGCAATGACAAAGTATCAGTATTTGTATTCAGCATGGACATGTGATAATTCGATCAGTTTCCTTTTCATAGAAAGAATATTAGAGCTGAAGGGATCTTAGAAATTGTTTAGTCCAAGTCCCAACACACACAGCCACACACAGTTTTATAGATGTCTTGGTATTCTCAAACTCTTAGCGTAGTGCCTACTTTTAGTGTATAATAGGTACTTAACCAGTTATTGAATTGAATCTCTCTGCGTTTTTATGTTACTTATGCACTTAAGCGCTTAGATTATATTTCCAGTATTGTGCATGATTCAGTTCCAGATATTCTCCACATAGCCCCCCCCCCCCCCCACACACACTCTGTCACTCACTCTCTCATTACAGATGCAGCATTTCTTGGGAAAGCAAATCGTGAAAGAAAATTCCTTGAGAGCCATTCCCAATTCTCCTCAGCTTGCTTCGTCATACTCTGGAGTTGGTTCTTCTACTAGCCAGGCTAGACCACCCTTGGTAAATACAATTATTTATTTAAACATTTTCTTTTTTTATAGCCAGAGTGAGCTTTGGGGAAATCCTTGAGAGTGTAGTCTTTTTCGGTCTCAAATTTTGTTTCCCCTTCTGTTTCAGTCTCCCAACTATTGGGAGATGGAGGAATAGATACAAGGGTTGCACCAGAGCACAAAAATACTTGTTATTTTTACCCAGTGACCCCATACAATTCCAAAAGACAGTTGAAAAATTCAATCACAGAATCACAGAATGTGAAGGGATCTCAGAGATCATAGGGTACAGGAGTTCTTAACCTTTTCTTGTGTCATAGAGCCCTTTGGCGGTCTGGTAAAGTTTATAGACTCCTTCTCAAAATAATGTTTTTAAATGCAAAACAGTAAATTACATAGGATTAAAAAGGAAACCAACTATATTGAAATAAAGGTGTAATTTTTTTCCCTTTCCAAGTTGATAAATCTGCTTAAATCTATCCGAAGACTCCAGGTTAAGAACCCCTGTTCTAGTCCCACCTGTCCTGATCCTGGACAGAAAGTCATTGCACAGTACTTCCTGACAGTTCCTCTACTTCCCCCCTCTGATCGAAGCCCTCCAGGGATGGGGAATTCATTACTGTTTGAGGAACTGCATTCTATTTTTGAACAGCTCTAATTGTTAGGGAATGTTTTCTGATGTTAAGTTGACTTCTCACTATTTTCTCTCCCCCCAACTCAGTGTCCCATCTCCCATCCCCTCCCCTTTGCACAGGCTCTCTCCTGTCTGCCTCTCCACCTTAGAGCCCTTCATTTCCTTCATGTTTAAGTCCGTGTGGCGCCTTCTGTCTTCCCCTCCACCTCCAATAGAATGTCAGATTTTTAAGGGTAGGAACTATGTTTGTCTTTGAACTCCCAGCCCTTGGCATAGAGTCTTACCCATATATAGATATTTGAGCATTTAAGTAGTGTTTGCTGTGTTGAATTAGAAGCTTCCCTGTGACAATGACATTATAACCCTTTTAGGTGACAGGTATGGCCCAACCTTTACAAGTGTCTGTTTTGGAAACTGGAATTTCTGAGGCAGTCATAGGAAATGAGCGCATCAAGATCAGCTGGGAGAGGATTATGGATAAGCTGAAAACTGCCTTTCCAGAATATAGCAGGTAGTATTACTTTAATGGTAGGCACTACTGAAGCTGTTTACTTTGGTGATACATTTTAAAATAGGTTTATTTTGTTATTGTAGAAATCTGGCCATACCAGGTTCTCAGAAGGAAGAAAGGGAAAAAAAGCATTTATTAAATGTCTACTATGTGCCAGGCACTTTACTAAGAGCTTTACAAATATTATCTCATTTAATCATCACAATAACCTTGGGAAGTAGGTGCTGTTATTTTCCTGATTTTAAAACAGTCAAGGAAACTTAGGTGAGCAAACAGAAGTTAAGTGATTTGCCCAGGCTTACATAGCTATTAACTGTCTGAAGCCTGATTTGAACTCAGGTCTTCTGACTCCAGATTCAGCACTTTCCACCATGCCACCTAGCTGCTTCTGCTAGAGGGAGAAGGAAAGATTCTGAGAAGAAATTGGTAGAAGAGAAACGGCATGGCCTAGTGGGAGGAACAGAACCCTGGGCCCTGGGCTGGCTGTGTCGCTAAGAAGCCAGTGACTTCAGCCAATCACTGCTGTGAAATTCAGGATCTTGATCTGTTAAAAGAGCAGGTGAGGGGTAGCTAGGTGGCGCAGTAGATAGATCACCGGCCCTTAAGTCAGGAGGACCTTAGTTCAAATCCAGCCTCAGACCAAACACTTGACACGTACTAGCTGTGTGACCCTGGGCAAGTCACTTAGCCCCAATTGCCTTAAAAAAACAAAACAAAACAGGCGAGTAAGTCCTCTCTCTCTCCCTTGATTCCCGGGGCTGCTGTACGAATCTGAAAACTCTGCAATGTCAAGTAGTATCATGATCACAATTGGGAATCTTGATTTTGTTTTTTTGCTTCGTAAGGTGTTAATTCTAAACCTCAGCCCTAGATTAGCTGTGCCCCTTTTGAAATGACCAGCTGTGGAATACACATCTAACTAATGAGACATCCTTGATAGAGTGGAGAGAGTGCTGGAGGCAGGAGGGCTTGAATGTAAATCCTATCTCAGATGGTAGCTGTGTGACCCTGAGCAAGAAATTGAACCTCTCTCAGCCTCAGTTTCCTGATCTGTAAAATGAGAGGTTGGACTGGGTAGTCTCTAAGATCCCTTGCAGCTCTAAATCCTAGGATGATGTCCTGCCTCAGATACTTACTAGCTGTGTGAGTCTGGGGAAGTGATTCCTTTGTCTTGGCCTCAGTTATTTTGAGAGGCATTAAGGTATGGGGGATAGGGAACTGGACTTGGAATCAGGAAGCCCTCGGCTCAAATCTTGCTCCCTGCTACTTATTAACTGTGTGAAATTGGTCAAATCATTTAATCATTTCGCACTTGATGACCAGTAAAGTTCCTTCTACCTCTAATTATGTGATCCGGTGAACCTAAACTTATCTAATCTTTAGGCATCCGGCTGTAGCAATTGTCTTGAAATGTCCTGATTGATTGTTATACAGATAATAGCTTCTTTTAAGTTCGCTGCTTTTTAATGTTATTTAGTGGCATTAATTTCTGTGTCAGGGAACATGGTGGAGTGCAAGAAATAATGACATTCCCAATTGGACCTTTCCTAGCTGTGACACAGCAATGATGGGCCGTCTAACTCCTCCACTCTAGGCCTCTGAAGTATCCTCTAACCCCACTTCTCTACACATGTAAACAATCCTGGTCTTTGAGAATCTCTTCTTATGAAGTTCTGTATTTTATATACCTATAAAGCACAATATACATTGTGCCATGTTTCAGGTTTGAATTAAGATCTAATAAATTCACAGCAATAAAATTGATGGTGAAAATAAAACACTAGGGCCTGATATAAAGTTCTAATTGCAGTAATAGTAAAACAAAATTTGTTTTAGTAGGATTTTAGAGTTTATAGGAACCTTCAAAGTCATCTAATCCAACCCCCATAGTTTGTGTAGGAGAAAAATGGAACTCAGCTATCTTGCCCAAAGTTACGCAGGTTAATAATTGGTAGAACCAGGATTTGAACCCAAGTCTTTAGGCTCCCAGATCTAATGTTAGTTCCATTCTACAACTCTCCTCCATTATATTTACATTGTACTCTGTTATATGGAAAAAAATACTTTGTCTTATCTGGCTAAGATGTTGGAGCAGGCTGTGGGTCACAGGATACTGGAAAATGTGAGAGAGCAAGATCATTAAAGGGATGCTGTAAATACTACTACCACTACTACTACTACTTACTACTACTACCACCACCACCACCACCACCACCATTACCACTACCACTACCACCACCACCACCACTTAGCGTTTATATAGTGCTTATGTGCTGGACATTGTGCTAAGCACTTTACAATTATGATTTCTTTTGATCAGGTTCCTTAGCTCTTTTTGAATGTTTGAGTATTTCTGATGAAAACTATGTACTTGCAGAGAAGGCTGAGGATCTAGTAACAGGATTAAGGAGGAAAATGTCAGCCCCTAGGGAGAAACAAGTTGAGAAGCATAAATTTATCACATAAATAATTGATGCCCTTTTGCCATCCTTTCTGTGACATTAAAGTCTCTTTGGTTGGGGAAGAAATACTTGACATATTAGCACAATCTAAGCTCTAGGGGCGTTGAGACACTTAAGGGCTGAGTATCAAGTGATTGTAAGTAGAACTATGTGATAGTCACTTTTTAGAACAAGGATACTGGACATGAAGCCTGTGAGATATTTTCATGTCAAGATTAGAGTGGGGGCAGCTAGTTGGCGCACCAGCCCTGAAGTCAGGAGGACCTGAGTTCAAATCTGGCCTCAGACTGAACACTTGACACTTACTAGCTGTGTGACCCTAGGCAAGTCACTTAACCCCAATTGCAAAAAAAAAAAAAAAAGATTAGAGTGCACATGCTTACGGGATGACGAGTTCCTGGAACTCATTATATTTGATCTCTTTCAGGAAGGAGCTTACAGACCTTTTACGAAAACTGAAGGATGCCAATGGTAGATCCTTGACTGGGCTGACATTTGATGAAATAGTTCGTAGAGTTTCCCAAATGATTGAACCTAAAAGATCCCAGGTGAGAAACTCCTGGTGCAGCCTTCAAGAATATTGACTGATATAATCACCTCAACTTCAGAAACTCAGGAAATCAACCATTTGTTCTAGAAATTTTGGGCCATTCATTAATGGTTTAAAAAAAAATCAGCAAGTTTACCATTATTCTTGATCCACTGATCCTTTTGGAGAAATCCAGGCAACTGGGCATGGTAAAACTCAAACCAGCTCACCTTCAGTTAAATTTGCATTATTCTAAAGGAAAAGAAAATTGCTGGTTTTCTGGGAAGACTCATTTTGAATAGGACACATAGATGCAATTTCCATTTTTTTCTCCTCCTTTCTTCACTGTCCTTTGGGAGTTGTCACTAAAAATGCAAAAAGCACCTTGTTTTGTGGCCAGATTTATCAGGAATCTACGGACCAAAATGAAAAGACTTTCTCTTTTTACCTTTTGCATACCATTGGATCATTTTATTCTACCTTAGAAGTTCCAAATGTTTTAGGGCAGATCTGCACAACATTCAGCCTGGTGGCCTGTGCAAGGATTTCCAGCCGCCTGCAAGAAATGTACAGGATTTAACTATGGCTCAGGTCATCCTCAGGCCGCAAGGCTGTTCTCAGACGGAGCCAAAAGGGCCCACTGGCCCTTTAAGAAGAAGTGATTAAGAGGCCTAATACTCTTGAGCAGGCCTGCACAACATACCGCCTTCGGGTCACTTTGGTGGGCTGCAAGTGGCAAGTGGGCTGTATATTATACAGGCCTGTTTTAGGACCTTAAACATAGAATATTCATCATAATATTTTCATTTTCAGAACCAAGTACAAAGAGTACAGAGTGCTGATTCTATTCCTCCTAGCCATCCTCAGCCTAAACCCAGCATTGACCAACCCCCACGCTCTGCCTGGAGAACCCTCAACCCACAGGTCCCTGTGGCATGGGAAGGGACCAGAAATTTGGTAACTCAGTTTGATTCCACAGATTTTGATTAAAGTACCAACTATGGGCACTAGGAATACAAAGATGAAATAAGACTGCTCCTAAGTTCAAAGGTCTTACAGTCTAAAGGCAGGGTTAAAGATTATATAGAAGTAATTGTAAAACAAGGTGGGATGCCATGAGTGCAAAGAAGACAATCAGATAAAGTATCACGTGAAATGTGAAGTGAGAAGGATCACTTTTAGCTAGGGGGAGAAGCTAAGACTTTGAGAATCCGATTTGAACTTTGAAGGAAGGGAGGGATTTCACTAGGAAGAGAGTCCAGTTAAAGCATGGCATCCAGGGAGATAGAGGGTAAGGGAGGAAGAAGAGGATGGTAAGAGCAGAGGCTTGAGAAATAAGAGAAGGCAACATGAGGAAGAGGGATGATGACAAGTCCAGTTAAGTCAGAATGTAGACTTAGTGTGAGAGAAAACTGGAAAAGTGAGATAGAGTTAAGTCATGCCAGGCCTTGAATTCCAAGATAAAGAGTTTATATATTACTTGGTAGGTAGAAGGTGCTTTTTTTCTTCTTCTTTAAATAGAGGAGTGATGTAGTCAAAGAAGTGGAGAAGAAAGATTACAGAGGCATCAATGTGAAAAATTTGGAGTGGGGAGAGACAGGGTTTTCTTGAGGCTGTTACACTGGCCAGGTGGGAGGCATTGAGAGCCTGAACGCTGGAGTAGTAGCAGTGGGAACAGAGTGAGGAGTGCATGGAGGGGGCATGAACCTCGGAGGGAGATTGTACTTGCCTGGGCCTCAGTTATTTTGAGAGGCAGAGGAAAGAGTCAAAGATTATTCCAAAAATGGGTGATGTGAGGGTGTTGGTATGCTTAACAAAAAATGGGTAAGGTAGCAGATAGGGAAAATGTTGAGGTAAGTTTAACATACGTGAATTTGAAGTACTGGTGAGCCATCCAGGTGGAGAAATTCAGCAAGCAATTATAAATATGGGACTGTGCCTGACACAGTATATAATTAATAAATAGTTGTTGATTGATTTTTTGATTGACTTATAAAATAAAGATTGGGAACAGAAGATAAGATTTGGAAGTTGTCCTCATAGAAATGATCATTAAAGAAAGGGTGATGGACATGGAATTTGAGAAAAAGAATTTGGGGAGAGAAAAGATGAGGTCCGAGGACACAATCTGGGGGGACACCAGCAGGCAAGGTTTCCAGAAAATGAAGAGCCAGTGAAAGAGTCAGAAGAGGAATGGTCAGAGTGGTTGGGTGAGAAACTTGATAGTGATATGCCATGGAACTTAAGGGACAAAAGCATAACAAAGAGGGAACGGTCAGCAGTCTTCAAGTCAAGCGATCAAGGAGAATGAGTACTAAAAAATGTAGAATGTTATTTCTAAAAGTTTGTCTTTGAAAGAGAAGAGAATGAAACTAAGAGAGTAGCAGGGTCAGGACAAGATATTTTTATGTAGAAGAGATCTAAGTTTGTTCCTAGGCCAGTGGAAAGAAAGGATCAGCAGAAAAGGAGAAGTTAAACGTGTGTGGGAAATAAGGAAGGTATGATGAAACAAGGTCCACAGAGAAGACAGAGGGGATCAGTATGTGGAGCCGTTGGTTCTGAACACGTTGGGCAGGGCGGTACAGCCCAGCAAAGACAGAGGTGCTGATTTGTCTCCCACGTTCATAGGCTGATGAAGAAGAGCCTTGTGTGATCTGCCATGATGGCCTCACTTCAGAAAACCTCTCTGTGCTGGCTTGTGCTCATAGATTTCACTCTCAGGTGAGTCGCTCAAGTTCTCCAGTTGGCTGTGTCAGGGTCTGGGAGGCTGCCATCACCTCTCGAGTTTGCTGTGTCCCTCAAGGAAATCTCTAGAAAAGAAAAGAAAAGAAAAGGGAAACCAAATGCACACAGAAAAAAGTATATATATATATATATATGGGTGTGTGTGTGTACATATACATGCATATGTGTACGTACACACACACATAGACACTTTTATGTGTACACATAAAGATCTCTGTATAAATGTATGTATGTGTGTAAAGAGAGCAGGTCTCCAAACCAGAAAGATCAGAGTTTAAGTACTACTTCTAACGTTTACTGGCTGAATGACCCTGGGCAAATCTTGTTGGTAGAGGGGATTTCTTTTTTTTTTTTTTAAACTTGGCAAATAGATGTATTTTTTACAGTGGCATTATTACAAATAAAGTATCACTTCATGATAAAAAGAAACTTTAACCATTCATAGGGATGTATTTTCAAAACGTTAATCATAAACTAAAATGTAATCTAGGAAGAAGGAACACAATTCCTAAAGGATGCTTTTAAAAGGTAATTCATCATTTAAAATTGTCATCCAGTTTATTTCAACAAACCTTTTAAGTACCAACTATATGAAAGGCACAGTGGTTTCAAAGAGGAACAATGATATAGTTCCCGCTCTTAATTGTGGTCATCACAATCATCATTAGAGTAGTATAATAAAGGTACGGGTGGTGGTGGTGGTGGTGGTAGTACTAGCTAGTAGTAACTGCAGTAGTAGTAGCAGAAGGTTGGGGGGATTTCTGCGTTAAGGTACCCTTCACCCCTGAAATCATAGGTTCAGTCCTTATTTCTGTCCGCTGGGACACCTAGATATTAGCAGAGGCATTGTGAGAGATCTCTTCAACTAACCAGGGATTACAGTTCTTTCAGTGGACCAAAGCTCTAAACTTAAGGTATAAATCAAGGCTTTTCTCTTCTTGAGATTTCTCTTCTTTGTTTACAAGGCCTTTTTGCAGTATTTTCATTGGCCTTTCTGTGGTATTTGTTACTGTTGGCCACCCTGTCCTCCTTGGCACTCTCTTATCCTTTGGCTTCCGTGACATGGCTGTCTTGTGCTTCCCCTGACCCTCTGGCTCCTTCACTTGCTCTTTGTGTTCTGCCTTCTTAAAAGTGAGAGTTGTGGGAATTGAGTGACATCCTATTTCACATCTGGAAAAGTCTGCCTGTTTGCTCTCTCCCCTCCCAACTCTTGAAATTCACTCATCCCCCTCCCAACTCAGAAAGACTTTATTTTTTCCTCTAATTATAGATTAGATTACCTAATCTTGTATCCTATATTATGTCCTGTTAATAGTTTTCTTCAAATGCCTAAAAGTCTGTCTCCCCCTGTATTTGGGGTCCAATGCCAAGCCGGGGAGGCCTGGTCCCAATTTGTTACTCAATTGGTATGTATTTATTTCTTATTAAATCGGTATGCTTGTAAGCTCCTCAGTTATTTCAGATTTCACCCATCACAGTATCCCTCAAGGTGGTCTCTGACCCTTGTCTCTTGTCCCTCTACACCTTCTCTCTTTGTGATCTCATCCGTGTCCCTGGCTTCCACTATCACTTCCATGAGGGTGATTTCAATAAATACCTCCTCAGAAGTGCTGAGACAAATTTTAAGTTGTTGCAAGGAAAAAAAAAGTTGTGGCAGTGATACAAGAAAGAGAGGGAAGATTTATCAGTAATACATATGTAAAAATAAAAAAGCTTCCAAAAATTAGAGTTGTCAAAAAATGGAATGCAATGCTTCTGGAGACAGCAGTTGTTATGCACTGGGGGTCATCAAGAGCAGTCAAGAAAATCGTGTCAGGCATGAACTAAAGAGGATTCTCACTTTAAGGAGGGGGCATTAGATAACCTTTGAGAGCCTTTCCAGCTCTGAGGTGATGTGCTTCTTAGTAGGATGACATGTCCCTTCACAGATAGACATGCCCATGTGTTCATTTGGAGCACAGCACTGACTCTTACATCCTCCTCTTGTCCTTCATACATCATCCCTGAACAAGACTAGTCAAATCACCAGGAAGCTGGATTTTACTTGGCTTCTAAAATATGGGTGGCCAGAGACTTGCATTCAGCTCTCCTAAATCATCTTGTAGATGGAGAAAGATAATAGTGGCAGACATTTATGCCGAATGTTAGGCTTTGCAAAGTGCTTTATGTACATTATCTCATTTGATCCTCACAACCACCATATGGTGGTTGGGCTACTATTGCCTCGGATAAGGAAATTGGGCCTCAGATTGCTTAGCTGGCTTGCTTATGGTCACACATCAATCCTTTTGATTATTCCTTATTATCCATTAGTATGCCTCTTCTATCCATTGGCTGCATAGTACTGCGCCATATTACTACTACTACTCAGAACCTTTCTGATGATGGCATCCTTTTCCTTATTCTCAGGCCCTAGCTGTCAGCCATTCTGTTCATATTCCCATATGCTTTATGCTGAAGAAGAACTAAGACTGTGTGAGGAAGGCTGTAGTAGTAAGAGTCAGAGTAGGCAGGCATTCCAGCGGCAGAAGTTGGACTATGGGGCTGCTTCATACTGGTGTGCTGTAAATATTATGTGTCATTCTTTATCTGGAGGATCACATCCCTAGCTTAATGATGGCCTCCTGCGGTTACACAGCACGGGAGGCACCTAAGCGTGTTGTCTAGGCTTCTTGTATTTGCCTTTTAAGATGTTAAGAACCTGAGTGTTTGATGTTAGAATAATGTGAGGCAGGGAGGCCTTTTGTGGATTCTTGGCATTTATATAGATTAATCAAACTCTTGGCTTTGCTGCTGTACAAGCACTATCGATATACAATTTGTGATCTGGGTCTTCTGTTGCAGAGATGTAATTTGACACAGGAAAAGATAATCTTATATGAGGAAGGTTTCACAGGGAAGTGAACAATAGCCAGCTCATTCAAGCCTTAGCTGTAGAAAACTATTTCAAAGATATACGATACAGGCTGGAATTACATTTTGCATCTCTGCACTGCTATAAAGAGAGATACACAGCATGCCTAATCCTGAAAGATCACTGAGAATGATACTTTTTCTTCCGCACTTGAATTTTTTAAAGAGACTGAAAACTTAGGAAATAAGATTTCATACAAACTTAGTATTCTAGTTGCCATTGTCTTAGTGAGTAGAATATAAGTCATTCATTCAGTTTACTTTTTAGGGATGGAGTGAATGGTCCTATTTTTTCCACTTTGTCCCTCCCATTCCCCTCCTCTCGTTTCTCTGACATATGACTCGTTACTTCTTTCTCTGTCTCCTGTTGACGAAGGTAAGATGGATAGCCAGTAAGTCATTGGGATGACTTGACAAATAGCCAGTTCATGTGCAGGAAGTCTGAAAACAAGGTTCTTAGCCATTTGCCTGTCCTGTCACAGCTGCCAATAAAAAACCAGTCCTGAAGCACATCCATCATGAAAGGGATTTTAAATTAAAACATTAGCCCCTTTTGTTGATAGGTATTGAGTTCTTTCCATTTATACAAGTATACAAGGCATCTTTTGGACAAAGCCTGAGGGAGATATGTATTAGGTAGTTATTTGTGCCTGTGTCTTGATGGTGTATATGTAAGAGTTTTCCAAATGATAAATATGGATGGATGATGATGATGACAGCTAATGATAGCTAACATTTATATAAAGCCTGCTATGTACCAGGCACTGTGCTAAACACTTTACAAATATTATTTCATTTGATCCTCACAACACTCTAGAAAAGTAGGTGCTGTTATTTGTATTCCCATTTTACAGATGAGGAAACAGGCAAACAGAGGTTAAGTAATTTTCCCAAGGTCACAAGGCTAAGAAGTGTCTGAGGTTGGATTTGGAGTCGGGTCTTCCTGATTCCAGGTCCAGTATTCTATCAGCTACGCCACCTAGCTGCCCCCATTAGAGTGGTAAAAAGGAATGGGAACTGGATTTGAGAGACATAGCATGTTGCAGCCTTGAGATCACCTTGGGAGTTAGGGGTGGGGAGAAGTAGAAACTTGGTGACTGTAAACACATTTTCCTAAGAAGGGAAAGTAGGGGCACTGATGCCAGCTACATTCTCTTCCCCTGAGAAATCATCACTAAGAGAGGGGCATAGCTGCAGAGTGAGGTGGGGCTAATGGCAGTAGAGGAGGAGATAGACTTGGGAGACACTGGTATAAAGGGTAACAGCTTCTTTTGGTATAGTAGGTATTTGAATATCACTGATTGACTTGTCTTCTTTTTCATCTATAGTGCATTAAACCATGGCTGAAACAACAGGGGACATGTCCTACATGCAGACTCTATGTTGTGCTGCCAGAAGAATTCCCTGGTCTTCCCAGCCGACACATACCCAAAATCTAATGCAAGGGTGTCAAATGAGATCAGCTTCTGTACTCCAGAATTCTGCTTTGCCTTATTGTGTGATATTTGAGGTGGTGTGAAGTAATGCACACAGCTGTTCCATAACAGAGGAACTAGCTAACCAAAGTGATAAATCTTCAAAATTTGCAGTCTGTATTTCATAATATGTAGACAAAATGTGATTTTAAAAATTGATATCTTTATACTTTCCCTTTCCTCGATAGGTATACCTTTCTGCTCCAAGTGCAACAATTAATAACGTGCTAGCCTTTCCAAGTCCTGTTGTCTTTTGTTTTCCTTCCAGTTACAGCCATCTTCTGCTTAAATGGAGAAGAGAGACTTGTGCAAGAGATAAACTTGAGCAATGAAGAAGTGGGCACATTCACAAGCTGTGAATGAAAGAAATCCACAGATTATCCAAAAAAATCTCTCTTCCATTAGCCTTGATCTCTAAGGTCATTAGCATATAAACAAGAAGCATAATTTAATTGTTTGAGTTTTTGTTTTTCCCCCTTGCTTTCGTCTTCCGAGGAAGATACTCTTAAATTAGTTGGCACCAAAAATCAAAATAAAAAGGAGTAAGACTATATTTAGAGGTTCCACCAGCTCATCACCCTTAAGCCTTAGCAACCTGCTTTCTGTGTCCGACACTGCTGTCTTGAAGGCCACCAATATTCTCCTTATTATCAAATCCTTTGCAATAATCTTTGAACTTTCTGCAACATTTGACACCATGCACTAACCCCTTCCTCATTTGGTTTCCATGACACTAGTTTTCCAACCTTTCTCCATCTATTCGTTAACTCTTTCATTCAACAATTTTTCTTTTTGTACCTGCTGTGTGCAGGTGCAAACGTTTTGCCAGGTTCTAGGAGAGCTTAAAAAAATGGTTTAGAAAAGAGACTGTCCCTTCTTTCATAGTGCTTACAGTTTATTGGAGGTTAAGACACAAGCACAGATAATTATAATACAAAATATTATAAAAGTATACTACAAAGTTGTAGATTAAAATGATCTTTTTCTCTTCCTCTTCCTCACCCCCAGAGAGAGTTCCTTCAGGTTTTTCCCTTTACCTCCTTCTCTTGCTATACTCTCACCCTGGTTAACCTAATCCACTCTCGCAAAAATTACTTCTATGTGCATGACTTAAATCTGTGGCTTCCTCCGACCCTCATCTTTCTCCTAGACCCCATTTCTTTGTTAACAACTGATATCTGGTTATCAGCTTGTCCCATTAGCTCTTCAAACTCCACAACAAAAACTCATTTTAATCCCCAAATGAAATCATTTTCCTGATTGATGTTTCCATTAATGGGTCCACCATTCTTCCCGGCCTTCCGTCTTCCCGGCCTTCCGTCTTCCCTCTTTCTCTTCCCACATGTAATCAATTACCAGGTCCTATTGATTTTATATTCACAATATCTCTTCACCCCACCCTCTTTCTGTTGCCACTGCCACCTCCCAGTTCATGTCCCTGTTGTCCCTTGCTTGGACTACTGCCATTGCCTCCTAACTGCTTTTGGCTAGACCTGATGACTCCCTCACTGTTCATTGAGCATTCCTTGTGCTTCTCACTCCTTATCCTTCTGCTCACCTTATTCCCTTCACCTGAAATACCCTACAAGCAGGCACAGTGTCTACCTTGCCAAATTTTTCCTATTCTTCAAGTCCTAGTTCTAAAGCCAATTCCTTCATGAAGCCTTCCCTGACCCTCTTCCCAGTCAGTTGGATTTTTTCCATATATGAACCTCCATAATATGTTTTTATTATTTTATTATTGTGCTCCTACTTTGTATTATATTTATAAACTTTTCCTATGCCTACTACTAGACTGTAAGTTCAAGCCCTGGGACAGGCATTGTTTCCTTCCTGGGGGTGTGCATTCCTTCCTGCTGGAGTAGGGAGACTAATTTCTCACCCCTTGTCGTCATCCTCTACTGACTTGTTCCCCATGGAGGTTGGGGCCCTCCGGGTGAGGGAGTGGGGGACACTGAAGTAGGAGGAGATAGATACCTCTCTTTTCTTCCATGGCTACTCAAATAGGGCTATCTCTGCTAGGGCCACTTTTCTTCTCCTCTTTCAGATCCTTTCCCCCTCCAACATCCCCTATCCAGTACAACGCTAACTCTCCCTAGTCCCACTTCTCCTCTGTCCTTTAGAACCACTATTGTTCACTACTTCTTTCATTCCAGTCTTCTCACATTCCGTCCCTTCTGAAGACCTCATCTCTCTCGGCACCCTCTCCAACGTTGGCTTCTCCAGTATTCCCTGTTGCACAGGGCCAGGAGGAATTGGTAAATTTCTTGCTCTCCACTGCCACTTTCAGAATCCTCTCTTGGCCATCTCATGCGGGACCTAGCTCCTCTTCCTCTTCATGTTGTCCAGGTTGGGGGGTGTTGTTGCCGTTGCTGCTTGTCACTCTATGTCAGCATCCCTCCTCTACAGTGTGCTCAGTATGTGGTTTATAGCTTTCCCTGCCCCACATCACAGCTTTCCAGTTCCTTGACTTCCTCAACTCCCATGACCTCTGTTCAACCACAGTTAGGAATGGTCCAACTCTGTACCACTCTGCTCCCCAACTAAATTCATTTTAGATGCTGGGATTTCTAGCTGCAGTCCAGGTCTGTGACAACAGCAGGCATGTTTTCTTCCATTTTCTTAATCAACTGCAGTACCTAGAACGGGGCCTTTCATGAAAATGGGATCTTCACAAATAGGTACTGACAATTGAATGAGACAGAGGAGGGGAGAGTTAAGGGAAGCAGGGCTTGATCCACAAAATAGAGAATTGCTGAATAATTGATAGGCTTCACTTGCAGACCTGAGTCTCCTCCAAGTACTTAAAAAAATCTCCATTTTCACCCATTTGACCCTAGCCGGAGAACTTACTGATTGTATGTATTTTTTGTATTGTATGGTTGCACTCTTACATCAATGCCTGGGCTATCACCCAGATCTTAACGCTGAGAACTGTTATAATTGTTAACTGCAACAATTGTAACTGAGACTCTATTATTATTAAAGTGAAGATGGTGTTATGTAAGTACTGTTCCTTTGTACCCGCTCCAGAATTAGAAGAATTCAGTTCCTCTGTGTGATGAATGTTTGTCAGACCATGGTCAAGGTCTTGGTTTCACTTAACATATGGACCTTAAGTCAACAATTTTCCCTGTATGCTTTAGATTAAATGTGTCATTAAACTTTTAAATCTCTTTCTGAGTCTTTCTTTTAGAGCCCTGGTATAATTGTATTTGCAGCCAGAAAGTTTTTCAAAAAGAAATTAAGTCAACCAGTCTTACAAAGTAATAATAACAATAGCTAACATTTTTGTAGTGCTTCTACTATTATTGAACACTTTCCTCACAATACCACCAGTGAGGGAATCAATAATCCTGTAAGTGCTAGTTTTTCCCATTTTGCTGATGTGAACAGAGTTAGGGGGGTAGGAGGAAGCAAGGTGGTGGAGTAGGAAGAGCATTGGACTTGGTATTAGAAGAGAACTGATACTGGAGTCAGAGGACCTGGAATCAACCTCTGGCTTGGTCATTTACTACATGTGTAGCTTTGTTCAATAACCCAGCCTTCTGGGCCCTGGTTGGTTTGCTAACCTACAAAATGAGTGGTTTGGGCTAGAATATTCTAAGGAAATATTCCTAAGGTTGATCCTAAGACTGGGATTCAAATTCATGCTCCACTATTTACTAGCTTGTGACGTTCATCCCAGGACTAGGTCCAGTTCTGCTGCAAAACTGGGTTTAGGTCTCTTTCACCTAGGAATGTACTGCTGTGGAGTTAAATACTACTCTGCCACGAATCACTGCAACTGTGTTCCAGCCCCTCCATCAGTGCTGCATTGGACCTTATTGCCATGTGGGATGTGCTGCCTCTTCAGCCTTACTTGATCAGATCACATGAGAAAACCCATTAACCCTTCATAACCATCAAATGTCCAAGTGCCAGGCTTGTTGCCATTAGTGACTTACCCAGGATTAGAAGCTCAGATACCAGAGGTATTTCGCCTTCACCATGACTTTTTCTGAGGCTCGGATGTTAACTCCTAGACCTCTTAACTACTAGGACCTCATCTGAGAAGGGCATTTGACACCAAGACTTACTGGGAACAATACAGGCATGTTAGAAATAAGGCCTTAGAGAAATAAAGCCTTCTGGTTAAAAACGAAACTAAGCTCGGAGTGAGTGAAGAATCGTTTATTACACTTCTCAAGAGAGGAGTGGGCACAAAGCACTTTAGTAGCATGTGGGTACTGGTTCAATGGTAGAATCAACTTTTAAACCGTTAGTAAGATCCATACTGCACCCATCAGGGCTCCTATTGGTCTAGTTCATCTGAGTTACACCCTTCCTAGACAGCCTAGACATCGAATATTCGTCCGTGTTCTGTTAACTCCGCTCACCTCATGGGTCCTGTGTTCAAAAATGGCGGCTATCTCCACCCTTGGGGTGTGTCAGTTCATATTCAATAAGCTTATTAAGCAAGCACAATGGAGAAAAGCCTTTGCCCAGTTGAAGCCCCATCCTTGAACCTGGCTAATTGCAACCGGTTTAGCCTCTAGGGCTCTTTCTTAAGAACTAGTTGCTTTTAGAGTGCTTTCTGATTGGTTGAGGGACTGTCACAAGATCTTGGAATTTCTTATCCTGCTGTGGAAGCCTAACCCCCTGAAATCTTTCTTACAGGCATACCTCATTTTATTGTTTCACTTTATTGTGCTTTGTAAACAAATTTTGGTGTGTGTGTTTTTTTTAACAAATTCAAAGTATTTCAATTTCAATTATGCAACCCTCTATTGAGCAAGTCTGTTGGCGCCATTTTTCCAATAGTGTGTACTCCCGATGAGTCTGTGTCACATTTTATTAATTCAATATTTTGTACTTTTACATTATTATTATATCTGTTATGGTGATCCCTGATCAGTGATCTTTGACATTACCATTGTAATTATTTGGGGGTGCCACAAAATGCAGCCATATAAGAGGGTAAACTTAATTGATAAATGTGTATGCTCTGACTGTTTCACTGACCTGCCCTTCACCCATCTCTCTCCTCAGGCCTCCCTGTTCCCTGAGATACAACATTGAAATAAGGCCAATTAATGACCCTGCGATGGCCTCTAAGCATTTAAGTGAAAGGAAAGTCAATCGATGTGGCAAACTTTATTGTTGTCTTATTTAAAAAAAATGTCACAGCCACCCCATCTTTCAGCAACCACCACCGGATTGGTTAGCAGCCATCAGCATCAAGGCAAGAACCTCCACCAGCAGAAAGATTACAACTCGCTGAAGGCTCAAATGGTGTTTAGCATTTTTTTTTTAGCAATAAAGCATTTTTTAATTAAAGTATATACATTTTTTTAGACATAATACTATTACACACTTAATGAACTACAGTATGGCGTAAACATAACTTTTATATGCATGGGGAAACCATAAACTTTGTGTGACTCACTTTGTTACAATATTTGCTGTATTGCAGTGGTTCAGAATCAAACCTGAATTATCTCTGGGATAAGCCCATTTGTGCTCCACGCAACAGGGAATCTTTTGACTGCAAGCTGAGGCAAAGGAACTGGCATTGAATGTTGGATCATTCAGGCCACTGGCTATCCATTTCCAAGAGTGTTTTAAAAGTCTTAGTGGGGTTTTAAGCTATTAAAGCTTAAAACTGCATTTTTGTTTAGTCACTAAGACTTTTAGAATATCCTAAATTTATGAAACGAGATGTCCTACCCCATCTCATTTCTACCCTGGTGCTTGAGTAAGAACTGACATCACCATCTGTCATCCAAGCTTTAGTCAAAGGGTACTTACTTTCCCATCCCATGTCTAAAGAAGTAGTACCTCCTCCTCTACTAATTTCTGTGACCCTGAGTTTATTTTTGCCGAGGTGAAACCCCTAAGCCCTAGAACTGTGTGTACCCTTATTTCTCATCCCCATTCACCTCTGCCCTACCCTTCCTGAGTACATTTCCTCCTCTGTCCTCTCTTTCCATTGTTTCTTAGTGCTCCTTTGTTTCACACCCTTCCATAGTCTTGGACTCACTAGATCCTTACTCTTCCCATTCTCACTTGCCCTCTAGAAGACATTGCATCCTGGGACACCCTTTCCAATACTAGTTTTATTTTTTTTTCCATGTTTCCCAATACACTAGACTAGAAAAAAGTATAAGTGTTCATCATGCTTTTCCTTGCCTCTTCTGGACCTTCCTGGATGTTCCCATCATTCAGGAACATCCCCTCTTTTGAAGTTCTGTCCCATCTATATTACCTTATCTAGATATTGATTGTAGTTACCTAGTAGATCCTAAGTAATTCTTTCTTCTTTCTTAAGGGGTTTGGCACCTGGCTCACAGTCTGCCTCTCTTTTCCAGCCCCTATCCTCATACTTAGGAAGATTCTGAAGATTATCTGTTAAGATAAGGTACCAGACACTGAGGTCCTCTCTCTAACTGAACTGCCAAGCTTTCAAATTCTCCTACAGAAAACACAACTCCCATGGGATTGGCCGTGTTGTTCAAATGCCAAAAATAGATTTGCCTAAAAGACTTTTATGGAGAACTCATGGAAGGAAGGTACTCACATAGTGTTAAGAAGAAGCAATACAAGGACACTCTCAAGGTCTCTCTGAAGAACTTTAGAATTGATTGCGTGACATGGGAGATACTGGCAAACCACCTACCAGCATGGCATGCCCTCAGCAAAGAAGGTGCTGTGCAAAGTGGAATTGCAGCAGCTCAAAAGAAATGTGAGAAACACAAATTTAGACATCTCCACTCCAAATATTCATATGGACTATTTGTGGTCGACCTGTTTGAGCCTTCTGACCTTGTATTGGTCTGATCAGCCACAGTTGCACACATGTACATTGACCCCAGCATAGTGATGTCATTTTGTTCCTCTTTGAGAAGGAAGGACAACAACCAACCAACTGGCTTGGGAACTTCAATATATATACCGATATCCCCTAGCCTCTTAGTTCATTAACATCCTCATTTCTAATAACAAATTCTATCACTATATTGGCCACACACAGGGATGATTATACTCTTGATTTCACGATCATCCATAAGAGTTCCACCTCCATGACCAAAACTCTGAAATTTTTCTAATGGATCAAAACCTCCTGTCTTTTCAACTCTCTGTCTCCCTTACTTCTTGTAAATACATTCCTTATCCTTACCACAATTTCTAATCACATTGCTCTTCTTTATCTCTCCTGTTATAATTTTACTTTCCTCCCTTTGAAGTCTTGACTCTACAGTTAACCACTCCAACGCTATGCTTTGCTCTCCACTTTAGTCCCTTGCTCTCTTGTCTTATCTCCACTCATGTCTTGTTAATGGGTTGCTTTCATGGTCCTCTCATTCCTCTCTATCCTCAGTAGAAAATATCACCTTCTCGAAAAGTCATCTGACATCTCTTTGCCTCAGTATCCTCAATTGTAAAATGAGGACAATAATGGCACCTACCTCCCAGGGTTGTTGTGAGGATCAAATGAGGTAATTATAAAGCACTTACCACAGTGCTTGGCACATTGTAAGTGCTATATAAATGTTAGCTATTATAGTTGTTGTTGTCATTATTTCTTCTGCCAGGACATCTATGTTAATCCACAAAGTGCCTCTTTCCTTCGGTATGTATTACATAACCAACAGTGACTCTCTTTCTGAAGATGTTATTTTCATAAACTTGTATTGGCAAAGCAGTTTTCAATTTAGTTCACCAAACGTTTAGTAAATGCTCACAAGGTGCCAGGCACTTTGCTCGGAGATCCAAAGACAAAAACAAAAGGGTCTCTGCCCTCAAGGATTTTTTGTTTTACCGGGAAGACACAATCTGTACAGAAGTGATACAAAATAAGAGCCTAAGAGAGCTAAAGAGGTGAACCTTCAGAGCAAATAATCATGGTATCCCACCATGGATTAGGCTGGCTGGACAATCTCTAAGGGACAACATTTTCTAGGAGCCTGGCTTTAGGATTGGTTGTGGTGTGGCTAATTTCCAATTTGTTCCTTGGAAGATGTAGAAGCTCAACATTATTTGGAATAAGCAGGCATTTACTCAGAATACAGTCAAAATTGCAGCATCCTCCTGTTACATCAAAGTTGATGGCAGCTGATCAATATTTTCCAAAGGGCAAAGTGTAGATGTTGGCAACCTTTCATTTCCAAACATCGTTTTGTTCGGGTTCGTTTAG